TCTCCTCATTATCGTCTGCATCGGTCCCCTCCGTCTTACTCTTTCTTGCGGGTTTTTGGTTGTCTTTGTTTTCCTCTACTGCGTCCATATAATCGTAATAAACTGCAGTATCGTTCGTATCCATGTGTTTTCTTGGGTTATCCTGACTCTTTTCGTGGCTATCGGTTTCTAGATACTGTCACTAATAAAGTCTTTATCTGTCGCCATGTGCGATTCGATGAGGCTGTTTTTCCGTTTGCTAGTGGTGTTTCTACGCAGGTTATTGCTCCGCCCCGGGCTGTCCCGTGGGGTGTTGCCCCCATTGTTGCTGATCCTACACCGGTTCTTGCGCCGGTTTTGCCTGCTAGGGAGGAGCGGCCGGTTTCCACTCCCGTGGTCCCGGATTCAGATTCTAGTGAGCGGACAGTATCTGACTGTGGGCAGGTTGCCCATCGTGGTCGGGCGCGTCGGGGCCGTGGTGCCAAGGTTGTTGGGCCGCGGTCTCATGTGATGGGCACACGGAGTATGGGCCCTAAGGATCATGTTGCTTTGTTCACTACTGCTGACGATCTTGAGCCCACGTGTTACTCACAGGCCGTGCGTCATCCAGAGTGGCGTGAGGCCATGGATGTGGAATTTAATGCTTTGCTACAGAACCATACATGGCGTCTTGTGCCTTACACTCCAGGTATGAATGTTGTGGGGTGTAAGTGGGTGTTTCGGGTCAAGCGGAATGCGGATGGATCTGTTGAACGTCACAAGGCCCGGCTGGTGGCTAAGGGTTTTAATCAGGTTGCCGGGAAAGACTTTTTTGAGACGTTCAGTCCGGTTGTCAAGCCTACCACGGTTCGGCTTCTACTTTCCTTGGCTTACTCTCGTGGTTGGTCCATCAGGCAGCTGGATGTTCACAACGCATTTCTGAATGGTTCGCTAGCTGAGACAGTATACATGCGTCAGCCGCCTGGCTACGAGGACAAGACGAAACCAGATACATGCGTCAACCGCCTGGCTACGAGGACAAGACGAAACCGGATCATGTGTGCTTTCTGCAACGGTCTCTGTATGGTTTGAAGCAGGCCCCTCGTGCTTGGTTCACTCGGTTGCACGATTTTCTTTGCTCGGTGGGCTTTGTTCCTTCTAAAACTGACGTGTCATTATTTATCTATTCTGATGGTGCTGTGCAGTTGTATTTCTTGGTGTATGTTGATGACATTCTGGTCATGGGCTCGGACTTGCAGCGGGTCTCGGGAATTGTGGCCAAGCTGGCTGCGGAGTTCAAGATTCGGGATATGGGGGCTCCATCGTTCTTTCTCGGCATTGAGACTGTGCCGCTCTCGGATGGTGTTCTCCTCTCTCAGAGGCGTTATATTCAGGACATTCTTAAGCGTGCCGGCATGGTGGATTGCAAGCCGGTCTCGACCCCGGTTTCAGTGGTTCGGTCTGATGATGCTGACACCACTCCTTATGCTGATCCCACTCACTATCGCAGCATTGCAGGTGCCCTGCAGTACCTGACTGTGACTCGCCCTGATTTATCTTTTGCAGTTAATAGGCTCTGTCAGCACATGCAGTCTCCTACCACGGCTGATTGGAGTCTGATGAAGCGGGTATTACGGTATGTTAAGGGCACTCTTGGTCTTGGACTCAGTATTCGCAGGTCTCTGTCTTCTGCTGTTCATGCTTTTTCTAACTCGGATTGGGCTGGCAATCTGGATGATAGAAAGTCAACCAGTGGCTTTGCGGTCTACGTGGGCACCAATCTGGTTTCCTGGTCATGCAGGAAGCAGCGCACGGTGGCGCGTTCGTCTACTGAGGCTGAATACAAGGCCTTAGCTGATGTCTCGGCTGAGGTTACGTGGCTCGTTTCACTACTTAAAGAGATTGGTTTTCCGCCGGCTTCTGCTCCAACTCTGTGGTGTGACAACTTGGGTGCCACCTACTTGTGTTCGAACCCAGTTTTTCATGCCCGAACGAAGCATGTGGAGATTGATTATCACTTCGTTCGCGACAAGGTTGCCAAGAAGGAGATTCAGGTTCATTTTATTTCTACGAAGGATCAACTAGCAGACGTTTTCACCAAGGCTCTTCCGTCTACTCGGTTTTCTTTTCTACGGGACAAACTCAATGTTGCAGCTGCTCCGTCTTGAGTTTGAGGGGGAGTATTAGGACTCTTATATTAGTAGTTCGTTAGGACTCTTTATCTACTCTCTATATTATTACTTGTACAGACTCAGTTACGATTGATATTCAATAATCAAATCCTCATCGTTTTGACCACAAAAGTCAAGGTAAAAAAACCTATCTTGTAATCTTCTATTAATTGTAAAATTATTTATTAGCACTTACAATACTTATTATAAATTTATAATAGCTATGCAAGTGTTTAAACCAATAATTGTTAAAAGTAAAATGAAGAATTACGCCAATTATAAATTATTTTCAATCAATAATCATAATATCTAATCGTAAGCATTGGTTTAATGGACCTTAGACTTTAAATAAAGTCATAATTTATTATATCATATTACACAGGCCATTTACCAGCAACAGCCACAAAATGTTTTATTGAAACAATGTTGAGTGAAGGGCCGCAAATCAAATTCTTTGTTTCGTTTTGGATGTAGGTGCGGTATAAGCTTTTGTTACAAATGCGGAAAACAAGTTTATCAGCATTGCTGCGCAGACGTTATGCCATGGAACCGTGTTCACAATTCATGGTGAACACGGTTCCAACGGTGTTAGTGCACCGTTATCTTTTTTTTTTTTTTTTTTTTTTAAATTAATTACGTGACTGCCTACACATTCACTTTGGAACCATGCCTACACATTCACTTTGGAACCATGAGATTATGAATTTTCTGTTATGAGATTATGAATTTTCAGTTATGAGATTATGAATTTTCAGTTATGAGATTATGAATTTTCTGTTATGCGATTATGAATTTTCTGTTATGAGATTATGAATTTTCATTACATTCATAATTTCGGAGTTTCGGACATTCATAAATTATGAATTCATGCATGCACATTCACTTTGGAACTATGCCTACATATTCCCGTCCGAAATCACGGACATTCATAAATTATGAATCCATGCCTGCACATTCACTTTGGAACCATGCCTACACATTCACTTTGGAATCATGCCTACACATTCACTTTGGAACCATGAGATTATGAATTTTCTGTTATAAGATTATGAATTTTCTGTTATGAGATTATGAATTTTCAGTTGTGCAATTATGAATTTTCTGTTATGCGATTATGAATTTTCTGTTATGCGATTATGAATTTTCTGTTATGCGATTATGAATTTTCATAAAATTCATAATCTCATAACAGAAAATTCATAATTTGATCAGTAACGCGTCGTTAACTCCACATCCGCGCTTTTTTTTTTTTTTTTTTTTTTTTTGCCTAAAAACGACGTCGTTTTGACTTGTGTTCACCATTCTCGGTGAACACGATTCCACGGCATAATTTGCGCATTGCTGCGGGTGTGATACTGTTTCGTGTTGCTGCATATGGGCTTGGAAAATTTTAACATTTTACCACCTTATTATTGTTATTAATAGTATTTTTATCTGTGCGTTACACGGAATAGATTTGTTATAATCTTTAAGAATATTTTGATCAATATATAAATATAAATTATAACAATGAATATTATATAGTGCAATTGATGAAATGGATTGTAGCGATTATATTTTTTGATGTTATCCTTACTTGAATTCGAACAAGTAATTGTGTAATTATCCGTGCAGTGTGCGTGCAATGCACGTGCGATGCACGAATACAACTTTTTATTATATATTTAGATAATAAAATTGTTACTATTTCTTTAATCCTTTCAAAATTTGCTAAATATTTATTGAAATACGTGTGAATACGTGTCAATGCAGAACACTACTAAAATTTTTCGTATGAGCAAAAACGGACATGGGAGACTGTTTCTACATTAGAGAGAAACGGTCTCCCCGAATATGCTTTTCCTTTGAGAATTCAGTCTTTTCTACACATACATAACTTCATAATTATAAATCCAGAATTGCATAACTACACATCCATAACTTCATAACGATACATCCAGAATTGCATAATTACACATCCATAACTTCATAACTATAAATCCAGAATTGCATAACTACACATTCATAACTTCATAACTATAAATCCAGAATTGCATAACTACACATCCATAACTTCATAACTATACATTCAGAATTGCATAACTACACATGCATAACTTCATAACTATAAATCCAGAATTGCATAACTACACACCCATAACTTCATAATTATACATTCAGAATTGCATGTATAATTACACATCCATAACTTCATAACTATAAATCCAGAATGTGAAATTATAAAATTATGAACATATGTTTACGTAACTAACGACAAACGAAAATGATTTTTTTTATTTAAGTAAAACGACGCCGTTTTTGCATTCTGTGCACCATGCATGGTGCACACGGATGCACAGCATAATTTGCCTGTCTCTACCTTCTACTGAAATTAAAAAAAAAAATTGTTTTTTATTTTTAAAAATAATAATTAAAATAATTTTGTATATATAATTTGGAATTATGACATTATATTTAAGGAAAACTTAGAAGTAACTTGTAAAAAATATTATTTGCACAATTTTTGAGTTTTTAATGGTTCAATTATACTTTTTTATTTGTTCAATTGTTCAATTGTACAATGTGTAAAAGTTCAGTGGCATATTTGATACTTTTTCCTTTAATTTTAGATATAATAATTTCATTTTATTCTAAGCACATCATAAACCATAAATATAAGAATAGTTAAATGTAATGGCAATTGTTTCTTTACTTAAAGAAACAATGTCAATTTTTTTATCATGGTTCAGTCATAAGTGTATAACAATTGTTGAATGTAATAACAAATTATTTATTTTATTATTGAAAATTTAAATAATAGATCAAATTCTCAAACTAAATTGATTTTTTTTTTTTTGGTAAGAGAGAGGGACACAAGTGTCCCAGAAAGGATTAGTAGATTCTTCTAATAGCAACGCCGTGAGCGTCACTACTCAGGATGGATTGAATCTCCTCCGGCGGGAGGGCGAGGATCGTTGTTCCCCAACTGCTATTTTGCCCCAAGTTTGCCAGAGCATCCGCACACCGATTGCCTTCGCGGAGTGTGTGGGTGATGAGGCACCGTTCAAACATCCTCATGAAGGCTTTGCAGTCTCCAATTATGGTGTTGGCTTCCGGACGGCTTTCATTGTCACCCAAGACAGCATTAAGCACAGCTTCCGAGTCGACTTCCAGCGTGAGCCAATGCACGCCCCAACTCCTTGCCATTTTGAGGCCTTCCCGGAGGCCCCACAATTCAGCAATGAAGCTTGATGTGATACCAATCTTGGAGGTGAAACCGGTCAACCAAGCTCCCTCGTGGTCTCGCAGCACGCCCCCGGCCGAAGCCAGACCTGTTGCCGCCTTCCTAGCCCCATCAGTGTTAAGTTTGCACCACCCTTCTGAAGGTGCTTTCCAGCTGATCCAAAGCTGCCTTCCAAGCATGATCCCTCCATGTTTAATTAGAAGGCGTTCAGCCTCACTAGCCTCCTTTTTCGCTCGCAACACCGTCTCAGTAACCTGCACCATACGATTGTTAAAAATTATATCGTTCCTAGCTCTCCAAATAGACCAGAGCAGGTAGGGGAAAATCGTGGTCCAACTTCCCTGATTCGTAGCGTTTCTCATCATGTCGCAATTGTCCTTGATCCAAAGGGAAAGGGGTGTGAAAGCAGTAGCGTTGAAAGAGGCTGGAGCTTGGGAGTTTGCCCAGCAGTCCAACGCAAAATCGCATCTCCTGAAAATGTGGTCCAAGGATTCGTCAACACCATCGCATCTCTGGCAGATTGCATCGGTCGACAACCCACGACGGCTTCTCTCCGAGTTCGTGAGGAGCCCGTTTTGAGTGATTTTCCAAATGAAGAGTTTTACTTTCTCCGTGCACTTTACGTGCCAAACCCAACTGAGGTCTTCTTCTATTGTCTCTTGACCTGCAATAAAATTAAAGCCAGACTTTAACGTGAAAGAACCTGTTCCCGAGTGAGGCCAAGATATAGCATCATGAGGACTCTCCGTTAAAGCAATCGGTATGGCTCTAATGGAGTTGGTCACGCTGTCCGGGAGATAGTCCTGCACTTCAGTAAGATCCCACGTCTTATCTTCCTTGATTAAGTTGTTAACCTGTAAGTTGAGCAGCGAGGGTGGAATAGATACTCCAGGTATGTCTGCTAGAGGAACTGTCCCCACCCACGGATCCTTCCAAACGTTTAACGACTCTCCGGTACCCACCTTCCAACAGATGCCCTTTCTCAGGATGTCCCGACCCTTAAGAATCCCTTTCCACCCCCATGAGGCGTTGGTTTGCGGGGGGACCGTCAGGAAATCTTGGCTTTTGACGTATTTTTCTCTGAGAGCTTGAACCCATATTTTGTCTGCACAGTTCGTCATTTGCCAGGCCAACTGCATCATGAAAGCTAGATTAAAGTCTTTTGCTAATCTGAGCCCCAGGCCCCCCATTTCTTTGGACTTGCAAATTGTGGCCCAATTAACCGTATGTATCTTTCTTGTGTCTTCTGCATGGCCCCAAAGGAAATTCCTGCAAATTCTATCGATGTCTTTACAGGTACTCACCGGGAGGGATAAGGATTGCATGGTATAGGTCGGGATAGTAGAGAGGGAGGACTGAACCAGGACTCTTCTACCCGCCATGCTCAGCGAGTTAGCCTTCCAGGAGGCTAGTTTCCGTCTCATCTTGCTTAGAATAGAACCAAACATGTCTCTCGAAACCCTCTTTTGGAGGAGGGGGATGCCCAAGTAGGAGCCGAGATGAGGGGTGACTGGGATACCCATGGCTGTTTCCATATTCTGTTTGGAACCCGACCCCGTGTTAGGCGAACAGAAAATCTGGGATTTGGTTAGGTTGACCTTTAGGCCAGACACCCTGCTCAACCTATCCAAGCAATCGCTCATGACTTTTGCTTGGCGTTCTATAGCCTCTCCAAATAACATAAGATCATCGGCGAAGAAAAGGTGAGAGATCCCGATGCCTCCCCGAGAGATGGATATGGGCTTCCAGTTACCTCTTGACACTTCTCTTTGAATGTCGTAAGCTAGACGTTCCATAACGAGATTAAAGAGATAAGGAGCAAGCGGGTCTCCTTGACGAAGGCCTCTCCCCGGCACGAAGGGGGGAAGGGTACCCCCATTCCAAAGGATGGAAATGCTGCTTTCCCTTAGATAGTAAAGAACAAGATCAATGAAGGTCTTGGGGAAGCCAAAACCCATGAGGGTGTCCTCCAAGAACGCCCAATCTACGCTGTCATAGGCTTTCTGGAGATCCACTTTTACCGCCATAAGGCCCTTGCGCCCCTTCTTCTTATACATAGTGTGAATGATCTCTTGCGTTAAGATAATATTGTCAAGGGTGGAACGGCCTGGCAGAAAGCTGTTTTGATGTGGACCAATAAGCTTGCACATGATGGGTCGCATCCTGTTGACTAACACTTTGGAGATAACTTTGAAGGCGACGTTCAGTAAAGATATCGGTCTGAAATCTGCTGCAGACTCCGGAGCCTCTTTCTTGGGGATAAGGCACATGAAGGCCACCAAGAGGGATTTATGCACAGTCCCGGAGTGTAACGCTTGATTAACCATCTGCGTTAGGGCTGGTCCCACCGAATCCCAATAGTGTTGATAGAAGGCCGCTGGAATGCCATCCGGCCCCGGGCTACCGAACCTTTTCATACCGAACACGGCTTTTCTAACTTCTTCCATAGGCACCGTATTAACGAGGCGTCGAGATTGGGCCGAAGAAAGTTTTCGGTTATTCTCTATTGGTGCAATCTCCGACCCTCCGATCAATGAGGACCTGCAAAACAACGACGAAAAAAAGTCAGTGATATGCCTGGATATAATTGTGGGGTCTGCCGTCCAAGAACCATTGATTTTAAGAAATCTGATACGATTTCTATTCCTTTTGATGACCGCCGAATTGTGGTAAAAACGAGTATTTCTGTCGCCGTCTTTGATCCAACTAGTTCTAGATTTCTGGAACCAAAGGGTTTCTTCCTGATCCAGCACTGTATTCAGTTCCATGTTAAGGCGCCTATCCAGGGCTTGTAGGCTGCCTGAAACTGCGAAGTTGGGGGATTGTTGGACCCCGCGAATCCGCCCCTCTAGCTGTTTTTTCCTTTGAAAGATGTTCCCAAACACCTCCCTATTCCACAATTTGCTTTTTTCTGTGATGGCTGGGATAAAAACCTCTAAACCGCCCTCAAAAGACTTGACCGTGTCTTCCCAGAGCTTCTTGTAATCTTCCCTTCCTAGCCAGGCTGCCTCGAAGCGAAAAGGACGAGTATCTCTGTCCGGTGGATTACCCGCCACATCAAGGAAAAGGACCGGATGGTGATCCGAATGGAGCCTAGGCAGGACAATTGACTTTCCCTCAGGAAACCGAGCTTGAGCACTCATATTCCAAAGAACCCTATCCAGTTTGCGCATTTGAACTACGCGGTTGCCAACATGCCTACACCAGGTGAACCGACTCCCAGCAGCTTCCAACTCGAACAACCCGCAACTATCTAGAGCATCAACAAACCTTTGAACCGCCGAGGAACAAATTGAGTCACTACCCCATTGCTCCCCGTCTGAGGCGATGTCATTAAGATCCCCTAACAAAATCCAAGGTGCCTGGAGCGTGTTGCCAACGGTCCTGCACTCATCCCAGAACCTAGATTTGGCTATGAGATTGGGTCTGACGTACGCGAAGGTGATAAAACAGTCACCTAACTCCTGCTTTGCCTTTGTATGGATAGCTTGGGATGAATGACTCATGATTTCTAGATTCACACTCCCGTGATTCCATAAAAGAAGTAGCCCTCCTGCAAAACCGATAGGCTCAACAAGAAAATGATTAGAGAGGCCCAGGCTGTTGGCAAGATTAACCATGCCTTCAACCTTACTAGTTCGTATCTCTAGGAGGCATAAGGCGTCGGGTCTAGTTGAACGAAGGAGCTGTTTAACATGCCTCCTCACTTTACCATTCCCCACACCCCTACAGTTCCATGATACGATCTTCATGGATTATTACAAGCCGGGGGGGAAGTTGGGCCACCGCCTTCCCCAGGCGTGAACGCATTGTTTAGATTAAACGAATGCCGGTCCGGAGGATTAGGCCCCCCACTGGAAGAGGCCATGTTACTGCCGAACAGAAAAACCGAAGGGATACTCTCAAGGTTTCCCTCTCTGTGGTTCTCATGCGCATTAGAAAAAGGGATAGAAAGCAAACCTCCTCTACCTCGTCCAATGCTGCCTCCTCTTCCCCGGAACCTGTCTGAAAAACCACCGCGACTACCGCCTCCCCTGGCGGATCCCCCACCCGTATGTACTCGAGACTGGGTCCGAGGTGGTGTATCGCCGCTACCACCTCCTGCCTGGTTGGCCAAGGCGTCGTCCTGCATGGGGAACGACAAATTTTGCGGGGGGAGGGGGGGGGGGGGGGGGGGAAGAAGGGTTCGTTTCATTACCTTTATTTGGAGCCAACACTTCTTTATTCCTGTCTCGTGGATTCTTTGCTACTGCTGTGTTCCCCGTTCTTCGGAGGGACTCAAATTGATTATTGTTCCTGGCATTAGCCGACTTTTTCCCAGAACTGGCAGTAGTCCGGGATTGACCTTTATCCCCTTTGCTTGGTTTCGTGGTCTGCCTGTTCGTGGACATATTTTTGGGTTTGCGTTTGCTTTTGACAATCATCCACTCACCATGCTTCTCCACTGGGGGTGGTTGATTTTGTTGCTCCACATTCATGGCCCCCTGAACTCCATCAGTCGTGTCATTCATCGGAGCGGCCGGGTCTTTGTTACATTGGTTTTTTGGGCAGTCCGTAGAGCGATGACCAATCTCACCACAATCGAAACAGATCACTTTTAGCCCCTCAAATTCTATTTTTTGGGGGTAATCTTCCACGTTAACCACCGCCACCAGAGGCTTAGAGAGGTCGATCTCAACCACCGCTCTCGCGAATTGTCCTCTCTGGACACCGATCGTGGTGGTATCCAGCTTCAACGGGGTCCCCACGTTTCTCAAAATCTCCTTGATGGCTTCTTCTCTGAAGAACTCAACCGGCAATCCAGGCAGGCGGGTCCAGACCGCCATCCTTTCCACCTTTGCAGTCTCTGGCCTGAAGTTCGGACGCCATCTCTGCGCCACAACGTAGTGATTGAAAAGCTTCCAGGGGCCATCGACCAGTACATGCAGACAATCCTTCTGGAGTTGGAATCTAGCAATGAACCACCCCGAACCCAAGTCAATGATTTCCGATCTCCCTTCCGGTTTCCAGATGCGTAGCATCCTCTGTTGAAAGAGAGGTAGAGCCACCGCCTTGCCCAAGAATTTGACCAGCAAAGCGTTCTTCCAAGGTTTGATCCATTCCTCGCGTTGTTTTTTAGAAAACTTAACCACTGGGATATCCCCGGCCGCGGAGGGATCATCATCCTCCTTGTCTGACTCCACCACGATCTCGGTGTCAAACCAGCAATTTTCCTCTTCGACGTCACCGTTGTCTTCTCCCAACATGGGGTGATCGGATGCCGTCTCCGCAAAAGTTCGTTTCGATGTCTTATAACGCTTAACAACTCTCTCTCCTCTACCAACATGCTCCGACTGCCCTTCCTCGACGGACGCCGGAGCCACCGGCTCGGCCTCCATGGCCAAAGCCAGCAACGCCGCGGGAAACTTACCAACGATAACTACCAAACCCTAGAGCCGTTGAGAGAGAATCCTGAGAGCGTTCGATAGAATCTTTACAAACATCTATTGACTTAATTCATTTCCACCCAAACTAAATTGATATTTACCAGCCTAAAATCAGTCAATTCATTTACTGTGATTATTCTCTATTGTTTACGAATATTTAGTAAATATTTGTAATACATACATATCTAAAATCCAAATTTAAATATCTTTAATTATCAGTTGTGGATTTTCCGAAAATTTTAAGATTCGTTGACGGTAGGTACAAACTTCAACTGTTTGACCTGTGCCTGTCGGGTAAAATTATGACGCAATCATTTATCATTCACTGTTCATTGAATTTCCTTTTTGGCATCTTTACCACAACTACTGCTGGCGGATTCCTCATCCCCTTCTCACCCATTTCCCGCCTTCCACGTGGCGCCGTCGGCACGGGGCCCACACAATTTACAGGCTGCTCCATATCAAACCTTCCAATTATTGACTTATTGTTCCTTCTTCCTCTTCCTCCGCCTCCATCATCGCCGGCTCTCCTCTCGGCGATACCTACTACGCCGTTACAGTAAGACTGTAAGATACCCTTTTGTTTTCTCCTTCTATTTTCCCGATTATTATTTTTGGCGCTACTTGTAGCCGGAGAATCAACGTCGGTACTTCCATCAAGGCTGCTCTTTGCTCTACTGCTGAATCTTCTAGAAAGTTTTTGAATTTTGGGGTTTCTTTCTCCAGTAAACAGTTGGCTTCTTCTGATGCTTTTGCGTTGACTTGAGGATTTTGAGCCGCCGATTACTTGTCGTCGGTTTTGTGGTCGACGGCCGCCATGTCGGGACCTCTTGATCGCTTCGCAAGGCCTTGTGAGTTGACTTGCTTTTGATATGTTTAATTTCATTTACGAATTGAACTGCATTTTTGGTAAAGAAAATGGTTAATTTGCTGAAATTAGGGATTTTGAATTCATAAAACAAGTTGCTTCCTGTTTATGAAACTTGTGGTTATTATCTGTGGCAGGTTTTGAGGGCTTCTCTGGGAATGATGAGAGAAGGGAAAGAAAATCTGATTTTGAGAACTCAGAAGATGAGAGGAGGACAAGAATTGGTTCCCTGAAAAAGAAAGCACTGAGTGCTTCAACAAAATTTAAACACTCTCTCAAGAAGAAAAACAGTCGAAGAAAAAGCATTGGGCGAATCAGCTCTGTATCCATTGAGGATATTCGCGATGCAGAGGAGCTGCAGGCAGTAGATGCATTTAGGCAAGAGCTAATCTTGGACGAATTGTTACCGGAGCAGCATGATGATTATTACATGATGTTGAGGTGATGACATCTACCCTTCAAGTGATTTATGTAAATACTATAGTCATTTGTGTTGTGGCACCATATATAATTGGTCGGTGCTTCTGCTTAGCTTCCTTTGTGGTTGGACTTCAGATGATACAGATCATATTCGTCCATTATATTGGCCTATGGACATGACCCAGAATTCATATAAATGACAGATATGCTACATGATACACAAGCTGGAAATGTAGAACAGAATGGAAAGGGAGCACGCACTATTTAATTTCTTGTTTTTCTAGTTAATAGTTTCGAGCTATAGATCTGTTCTCTCACGACGTTGGTTTTCTGCTTGCAGGTTTTTGAAAGCGAGGAAATTTGACATTGAGAAAGCAAAGAACATGTGGGCTGATATGCTTCAATGGAGGAAGGAATTCGGTGTTGAAACAACGCTAAAGGTAATTTATTTTAACCCTCTGAGTAGGACACTTTGTTCGGGTTTGTTTTTTATGCTGTGCTGATGCTTCATCAGGAGTTTGAGTTCAACGAAGTGAGTGAAGTTTTGAAATATTATCCCCATGGCTACCATGGTGTTGATAAGGAGGGAAGGCCTGTATATATTGAAAGGTTAGGGAAAGTTGATCCTAACAAACTAATGCAAGTCACAACCATGGAACGTTTCATAAAATACCATGTTAAGGAGTTTGAGAAATGCTTTTCTACTAAGTTCCCAGCTTGTACAATTGCTGCAAAGAGGCATATTGACTCGAGCACAACGATTTTGGATGTTCAAGGAGTGGTATGTTCTGTTTTTATTAAGCCTCTTATGACCATAAAAGGAATGATTCAGTAGATTATGTTTTTCAAAATTTGTTTTCTTTTTCATCATTTTGTTAATTTCTCAGGGTTTGAAAAACTTCACTAAAAGTGCACGAGAGCTCATCATGCAGCTCCAGAAGATCGACTCTGATAATTTCCCTGAAGTATGATCTTATTCTGTTTCTAGTACTTTCTTTCTCCAATAACTCTGTGAATCATTGTAATGTTCTTCTTTGATGGTGGCAGACACTCCATCAGATGTTTATCATCAATGCTGGTCCCGGATTTAAGATTCTGTGGAATACAGTAAAGAGCTTTCTAGATCCCAAGACCACTTCCAAGATACATGTATGTCAATGCTATACTATTTCAAACACTATTATTATCATAGGGAAGTGCTACTTTTAGTTGGCATCTTTACCTCGTAAATAAACCTTTTTTTTTTCTCCTGTTATAGGTTCTGGGGAACAAGTACCAGAACAAGTTGCTTGAAGTAATAGATGCCAGGTGAACTTTATAAATTCCTTCTTACGGGTTTGTCCCTTCTTCTTCTTTTCCAGTTTAGTGTCCTCAACTTTCAACAAATAACGTATTTACTGATTTCTGAATCTTGCAGTGAATTGCCAGAGTTTCTTGGCGGGACATGTTCGTGTGCAGGTCAAGGAGGGTGCCTTTTTTCTGATAAAGGGCCATGGAAAATCCCAGAGATATTGAAGGTCTCGTTGTTGTCTTCATAACATTCTTCCTCCTCCCTTTATACTTGTGGTAACCAGAAAACGCCATTCTTATATTTTAAAAAAAAATGCAGATGGTTGGTGAAGCAAGTCGTTGCAGGCAGGTTGTTAAAGTTCTAAATAATGAAGGAAAGGTAGTCTATGTCAAGCCTCGCTACCCAATGGTATGACTCTACTCTCTTTCCTATATTGTATTTGAGGTGCCTCGTATAGTCTGACTATACCATATCGAGTTATTTTATGTGTTTCATTATCAGGTAAAAGTCAGTGACACATCCGCTGGAGAATCTGGATCTGAAGCCGAAGATATTGCTTCACCAAAGGCTGCAAGGAGCTATTCACATCTTCAACTGACTCCTGTTCGTGAAGAGGTAGTCTTCTATCATTGCTTTTATTAATTAGGATTTATGCTCCTTAATTAGGTTTACCAGAATCAAGTTTTGCTCCTTATTCATGTTATTAATGAATAGGCTAAGGGTATTGGTGCAACAAGCTATCCCATCAACTTCTCAGGATATGATGAATATGTTCCCATGGTTGATAAGGCTGTCGATTCTGGATGGAAAAAGCAAACGGAATCTGAAAAGCCCTGTGTTCCTACAGGTTTGAATATAAAACATACTGTTCTCTTTTCTTCATCCTCTTCATATGCAGAAGCTCGGTATGATATCTTATTGATGGTTTCTGATACCATACATCTGTTTAAATTCAGTGATCCTTCCACCACCCGACTCTCAAAAGACTACTGAAGGACTTCATGCCCGCTTTCTAGGAGCTCTAATGGCTTTCTTCTTCACTTTCTTCATACTTTTGCGTTCGGTGGCTTCCAGTGTAACCAAGAAGCTTCCAATTGCATCCTCTAATCAAAGCAAACTTTGTGAATTTTCTTCTGAATCAATTCCAAAGGAAGAGTTTAGGCCCCCTTCACCAACGCCAGCACCTTCAGAAGCCGAGCTTCTCTCAACTGTACTCGGGAAATTACATGAACTTGAAGAGAAAGTGAATGTGCTTCAAGAAAAGCCATCCAAGATGCCCTATGAAAAAGAGGAATTACTAAATGCTGCAGTTTGCCGAGTGGATGGCCTTGAGGCCGAGTTAATTGCAACCAAGAAGGTAAAGATTTATTATATCACATGGAATCTGATCAGAAAAAGTGGTGGATATCAAGTCATTTCCTTCGTCCCTCTTGTCAACTTTTAAATAATTTTCGGTTTTGGTTGAGCAGGCTCTGCACGAAGCTTTGATGAGGCAAGAGGAACTTCTTGCATACATCGACAGACAAGAAGATGCCAAGTTTCGGGTAAGTTGATCTTTTGCACAGCAGAGCATATAGCATTTCTGCTCCATTATTTTCTTGTATAGTGAATTTTTATTCAATTTTTTAAGAATATATTTCGCTTATTTCCTTTGGTACTTCTTTGTTATGCAGAAAAAGAAATTCTGCCTGTAAGGTCTTCCTCCAACTCTTCCATCATGCAAGAACTGTTCTTGATGAGATTCTCTTTGGTGTGATGCTCATATATGTTTGTAATTTTGTTGTGTTTGTTGCTTCCATTCATATCTGTAATGCAAGTTTGGTGTGTGGTGATCATGCAACAATGTTAACCTTATATGTGCAGACAACATTCCAACTTTAAACAAAATACTATACATACATATTACTCCGTATCTTATGAAAAATGTCAAGGGTCGTGATGTTGTAAAAGGTCCCAGATTTTTCTAGTGCAATTTAGATCTCTTGTGTGGAGGGTATGATAACATTATGAAACCATGAATAAAAAGACTATGGCCCTGTTTGGTAATAAATTGGCCTATAGGCCAATTTTGGCTTATTTGACCACTATTAATTGTTTGATTTAGTTAAAATATCAATATAAATGTTTGGTTAATTAGTTTTTTGCAACTTCAAAAGGCTAAAATTCAAAATGCTACTCCAAGCAACTTTTTCAATTAGCTTTTTGAGAAAAGAAATTATACCAAACAGCTATCAGCTAACAGCTAATTTACCAAACACTTTTCTACAATCAGCTAATGTTATTAACTATTTATACCCTCTAATTAACACAATCAGCTAACAACTAACAGCTATCAGCTAACAACCATTTTACCAAACAGGGCCTATATAAAACATAAATCTAAAGTATTTAGTTGAGAAACTTGTCGGTCCATTTTTTTTGCGCAAGCCATACATATTGCGTTAACAATAGTGGATGAGGTGCTTTTTGTTAGTTAAATATCAGTTGTAGTTTTAGTCTTCTCGATGATGGGCCCATGCAGTTTACCACTTTTGTGTGGAGAGTTGTAATAATAACATTATGAAACTTTTTGAGTAAAAATATAATAAGACAGAGAATTAAATTATTTATAGTTGAGAAATGATTTGTACATTTCTTTTGGGATCTCTCAAGGGAATGAAAATATATAAAAACTCAAATAACTTTGATATATATATTCTAACACACAAAAGCTTCTCATTGGAAATTTGAAGAAATGAAATCATACAACATTACAACTGGCGGCGCTGAAGAAAACATCGGCGCATTTTATCAAAAACGGCAAGGGAACCATATTGTACGTGTACATACATCCTATACTGCATGGGACATGCATATAAAATAAGTATACGTTTTAATTTGCGTCTGTGTTTATAACATTTTTCAAGTGCTTAATATGTTATAAACTCTATGTTTCCTCAACTGTTCAAAAACCAAAGATATTCTTCTTCTTCTTCTTCTTTTCGATGTAGGCTATCAGCTCGTTTTGGTTGCTCTGTGACTCCTCAAGTGCCTACAATTCCAGCAACAAATCATATATCAATCATCTTTCATGCACTACCCTCACTCATAATATATAAGGTGGGCAATTCAGCCAAATTGGCCAGGTCATTTTAGTAACCACATAGTATGTTCTACTCCCGACAAAAGTAGTCCCATAAAAATATTAACTATGAACAACCAAAATTGATTTACTTCATTTTAGTCTTTTGTGGGCCAGACTAGATAGAGATGGTGACGGGACAGGCCGGGGTGGAGAGTATACTCCAGTCCCTGTCTATGTTCCCGACGGGAAATTGAAAATAGTCTCTATCCCTGTTCCTGCTAGAAATTTGGCGGGACCCGGTAACTCTTAATTAAAATCTTAATTTTAAATGGTGAGAAGTAAGGATATATACCTTCTTGGCTTCGGCAAGTTCTTGTTCCAAGGCATCGATGCGGCTCATGGCGTTGGAGAGCATTTCCTCCTTCTCCGGCGGCATGGTGGGTGGTTGGTTGCTGAGAGTGATGAACTTCTCCTCCAGGCTGGCCATGCGCTTCATCATGGCCATGAACTCAGCGGCGGTGACGGCGGGCTCCGGCGGCTTGTAAGCCCCATGGCCTTTCATCGCATGGTCGTTAAGGTGCATGGAGTTGGAGTAGAGGGTGGACTCCGTCAACTTCCTCGGCATGTTTTTGGTCATTCGGACCATCGTTACTATGCCCATCACGAATGTCATCACTCCCGTCAGCAGTTGGTTGCTCGCTAGTTCTTGACCCTTGTATGCTTCCTGGATTTGGTATAGATCTGCCCCTGAAATTAAACCAATCAACCAACGGCTGAGATTTTCTAGTACATTTAATTTCCTTATATATGAATATGTTTGTGTATCCACATATATATATATACCTTTGGGAACGACAAACTTGCAATTGTCGTTGTTAACGACATGCCAGTTCGGCAGATCAACTGTCTTGTCAACCATGGGTACATACATATCAGGCTGGCGGGTCTGCACATTAATATAATGCATGGGTAAAAGGATTGCACCTTAATTTCGAAGTTTCGAAAGTTCAATTCTGAAATCTGGATAGAAGAAATAAATTGCGGGATATGTAAAACTTACTTCCTCTTGAATAGGAAAGAGCTTCTTGGTAGATTCAATCTTGAAGGATGCTGGCTTCTTCACGCTCTTCGCGCTCATGCTGACGCTGACGTTGACGCCACCATCCTCTGGGATCGTCTTCTCCTCCTCGACACGAGCCATCCTGTGCGAGCATTTGTGCGCGCCTTGGTGGACCATCTGATTAAACACCACACCGAATTAGATCACATCACAAAATTAATCAGAGCTCGATCACAACTATATATATATATATATATATATATATATATATATATATATATATGTGGGTAATCGGGTCGGACCTTCATGATTTCAGGGTCATTCCATGGTCCCTTGTCGGAGCGCATGCAACCTCCCTTATCTGCACAGGTGCAGGTGCCACCCAAGAAGTCTGGCAATTCGCTGATATATATAACACAAAAAAACAGTCCAGAGTTTATAATTAAGACATAATTTTCTTGATTTTAATTAGCACATATATATAAATCAAGAAAATGGTAGTAACTGGATCACCTGGCATCAATGATTTCCAGCAATTTGCTCTGGTACTTGTTGCCAAGAACCTTTTAAGGAAGAGGTATTAGCTAGTTTCTAACAGACACAAATTAAAACACAAACGTACGCATTCGCGATAATAAGCTTACGTTAATCTTAGCAGTGGTCTTGGGGTCAAGGAATGACTTGACAGTGTTCCACAATAGCCTAAATCCTGACCCAGCATTGATGATGTACATACGGCACAACGTCTACACAACCAAACACAACATATATATATACCAAAATTATTGTATGTTCCGGTATAGTAGCTAGGCCCATAAATACTAAAAAAAATACTGAGTACCTCAGGGTAGTTGTCACCATCGATCTTTTGGAGGGCTTGGATGAGTTCCCTTGCCTGCTTGGTGAAGTTTTTCAGACCCTGAATTGAACCATATATATATGCATGTTAAAGGATGCCTTGAGCAAAATGTTTGAACAGTGAAAGGGCCCCAACATGCATTAGGTGTGGTTCTCGATCAATTAAAAGCGAGCTTAATTGATAGTGAGACTACATATTTATATACATACCACTCCTTGGACATCGAGGATGGTTGTGCTCTGATCAATGTGTTTCTTAGCAGCAATAGAGCATGATGACATTTTATCATTGTTGGTCCTTTCGAACTCCTGGACATGGTACTTTAGGTAACGGTCCATGGTGGTGACTTGCATCAGCTTTGTGGCATCAACTAGCCCAAGCCTCTCAATGTAGATAGGCCTTCCATCTTTGTCCACACCGTGATGCCCTTGAGGGTAATACTTGAGCACTTCATCCCTCTCCTTGAAGTCGAAATCCTATATATATACACACAAACATTACATGCATGCATGCACTTTCAAATCAAACTGAAACTTTCACGGCTGGAAATTATGAAATTTCCGACCACCTAACTGAAACTTTTACTGCTGGGAATTATAGAATTTCCGACCACCTGAAAGTGATCTAACAAGGCTTTCGACTTAAGATCTGTCAGGTGGTCAGAAATTCCATAATTTTCAGTCGTGTTTTAATTAAGACAGAACATATTGAATTACGGACATCAATGATTGTGTCTGCACCAAACTCCTTCCTCCATTGGAGCATGTCGGCCCACATCTGCTTTGATTTATCAATTTCAAATTTCCTGGCCTTCAAGAACCGTAGCATCATATGGTAGTCGTCGTGTTTTGTCGGTAGCAACTCGTCGAGGATGAGAGCCTGGCGGAAGGCGTCGACCGACTTAACTTCCTCGGCGTCGTGTTCATCGTCCAACACCACCGACATCACTCTGCTGCTCCTCCGACGGCTCTTGAAGGAATGCCTAAACTTATTAGAGGCATTAATTGCCGCTTTCCTCAGTGACCCCAGCCTTGTCTGTCTGTCATCGGCGTCCAAGTCCATTTTCTCCGCACCTGATAGATCAGATCATCCAAACCACAAAATTAAAACAACATTATTCCATTCCTTTCACTGCTGGAAATTATGAAATTTCCGACCACCTGAAGTGGGTTTTTTCGGATACCAAAAATGGTCAGAACAAATTTAAAATCATTTCAGGTGATCAAAAATTCTATAATTTCAAGCAGTGTCTTTTAACTAAAAATAATAGATATATATATTACTTGGCCTCAACGGTCGTTCAACTGCGCCTGACATATTGCCAGCGCTGCAGGCTGGGTATATGAGAACGCCTACACCTATTCATCATATCAATCAGACACAGAGACAAATAAACACAGAAAGAATGAAATAAGGATAGAGAAACGAGGGACTTTACCAGTGACAAAATGGCAGGGCTCCGAGAAAAGGAGGAGGAGGGATCCTTAAATCCCCAGAACTCAATGGATACCCACTATTTCTTGTCCTATTTTTATTCCATACCGTTCACTTGTTTGTCAGGCCCCTTTTCTTTGACCTTTTATTTCTTCTTATTTATACATCTCTATTTTACCTAATAAAACTAAAATAATATTATTTTGTATCATATTCTGTGTTATATAGAATGTGCAGCCCACTCCGAACCCGGCCGTGCTATTCATGCAAACACTTTCATATCCTTATATCTCATTAAAATATAATCATGGACAGAGTTATGTTAATTTCAATGAGGTGAATTGATACCACTACTATTTTGTTTTTTATTTACTATATATATATATATATATATATATATATATATATATATATATATATATATTTACCAACTGTTTTTATATGGGTAGACTCTGTATAAGCAATGAAATTAACTGTTTTTACCAACTTTTGTGAAGTTTTAAATTGGTGATAGATGATGGAATTGGATGGTAACCATGCAGGCACGGACGCCACGGAGGGTTATTAATCTTTTAAGTGGTGGTGCTCCACTAAGTGCATGGTTACTACTTCCGATCCACATCATGCTTTCCACCAAATTGGAATGGCAATGTATATTGTTTCCTTTTTTTATTTCTCCAAGCTGATAAGTTATGAATAATTTAGATTGATTTTTTTTTTTTTGATCTTTTATCAACTAATAAGAACATAATGCATACAACTATCATAATGTCTTATGTTGGAGTAGTAGTTGACCAATGTAGGACTCTAGCTTCGTCTTTTAATTATGTCTTGTTTAATCATGTTTCTAGGCAGATTAATGCGCATGCGCACACGTTAGCTTCGTTAGCTTTTATTCAGGATCACGCTATGTACTGGGATTCTATCCCTCCAGACTGCATTGCAGCTTTGATTCATTAATACAATCATTCATTGGTTGGCTTTCAAAAAAGAACATAATGCATACTTTACCTAATGTGTACCTTTGAATAATAATGACAGCAGACTTCCCTGTAAATCAAATGAATGACAATATGAGGCCAACAACGAGCTAAGTTGGTTATAGGGTTGACTTAGTAATCACAGCTTTTTAAGCTTGACTCCCCATTTGATCAGTCTATTGGTCTAATTGGTTTGAGTCAATTAATTATGGCCCTTCTTGTGGTTCTTTAATTCACCAGGTAAGATCACAAGGCGAGCTCCACTTAAAGCAAACATTCAGGAAGCGATTGAGAGTTTTCTCCTAAATCAAAGTAATGATAATCATAGTAATTTTAGCCAAAGTCAATCAGATAATTGACTTGATAACCACAATGATCAAAGTTATACTCCATATCAGTGTTGTAAAAATTCCGCATAGGCGCTAGGCGCCCCTAGACCCTTGGCGATTTTCCTTTCCTCCTAGGCGACCGGCCGCCTAGACCCTAACTCGGCCGAGTTAACTCATCCATTTCTGTCGAGTTAACCCGGCCGACTCGACCTTGCTAATATTTTTCATTTATATATATATATATATATATATATATATATATATATATATATATATATGTGTGTGTGTGTGTGTGTGTGTGTGTGTGTGTGTGTGTGTGTGTGTGTGTGTGTGTGTGTATAATATGACATATATACACCTATACACATGCACTATTTTTCTTTTTTTAGTTAGCCGCCTAAGCTGTTTAGGCGCTAGGCGCTACTCTACCGCCTGACTAGCGCCTATTACAATCATGTTCCATATTAGAATTGTTTATTAATCTTTTTAGTTTGAATCAATTAATTATAAACAACTTAAATTAATTTAGGTCACAATGCGAGATTCACCCGTAACGTGTGACTTTCATTGGTGTCGGCCTTGTTGGGTCCCATTCAAACAAAAATAATAAGATTTTTTTAAAAAAATTATTTCCGAACAAACACTTAAGGCCTTAATATACTTTTTCTAAAACCTCCGGGGTCGAAGTGAAATTATCCGTTTTTATGGGATTCACGAATCCACGACCCAGCTGAGCCGTCAACGCCGGCGTTTCGTTGCACGTGCGCATCAGGGAACTTTAAACCCTAAAATCTTAAATCCTCATTAACGCAGACTTGAAGCTCAGCTCCCAAACCTTCACTCTGCTCCATCAATGGCGGCTGCGCACCTGGTCTCTCACTCCCTGTCGCTTCCTAAGTCCCTAAAGCACACTTCAAATTCAACTCCCAAACATTTCTGCCTGAAACCAATTTGCCCACCCAAGCTCATTTCTAGAAGCCGGATCACAAGGGCAGTTATTTCCACCTCAGAGCAAAAGACCCAGAAGTTTCAGCACTGCTTTTCAAAATCAGAAGATGGGTTCCTGTACTGCGAGGGAGTCAAGGTTCAGGATGTTATGGAATCAGTTGAAAAAAGACCATTTTATCTTTATAGCAAGGCCCAAATCACTAGAAACGTTGAGGCTTATAGGGAAGCTTTAGAGGGCTTGAATTCTATCATCGGTTATGCGATTAAGGCCAATAATAATCTTAAGATTTTGGAACACTTGAGGAAGTTGGGTTGTGGGGCTGTCTTGGTTAGCGGTAATGAGCTCAAGTTGGCCCTCCATGCTGGTTTTGATCCTACCAGGTAATATGATAGTGCTCACAAATATTCATTTTTTGTTGTCTTTGCATTGTGTGCGATATATTTACTTGGTTTTAGTGTGTAATGTTGTTGGTAAAGCTTCAAATTTGCATCTTTTCAATGTGTGGAAGACTGGTAGAAAGCTGGGGATACACCTTTAATGCTTATACCAAGTCTTTTGACACATTTGGGAGTATTTTGGTTTGTAAACTCTAGGGCTTCATAATGTGCAATGCAGCAAATGATTGGACTATTTAATAGTTCTAATTGCATTTGAATTGTGTTGTTTTCTGCTCTGTTTGTGTTGAGTTACATTGACATTTTGTAGCACAGGTGTATCTTTAATGGAAATGGAAAAGTCTTGGGGGATCTAGTGCTAGCTGCCCAAGCAGGCGTTTTTGTAAACATTGACAGTGAATTCGATTTAGAAAACATTATTGAAGCTTCAAGAATTGCTGGGAAGAAGGTTAATGTGCTTCTGAGAATTAACCCAGATGTGGACCCCCAGGTTTGATACTGTGATGCACAATGCCGTCATCTTTACTGCTTCAATATGACGATCTGGTTATTTTCTAATAATAATGTGAAATAGGTCCATCCCTATGTTGCCACTGGGAATAAGAACTCCAAATTTGGTATCAGAAATGAAAAGCTGCAATGGTTTCTGGATGCCGTAAAGGCACACCCAAAGGAACTGAAGCTTGTTGGAGCTCACTGCCATCTTGGATCTACAATAACCAAAGTAACATGTTGATTTTATTGTAAATTTTGTATATAGCAAATTGGATATCCATGTCCATCTGAGTTACACGATATTCCTTTAGAAACTTTGTTGACCAAATATTAATTATTTTCCAGGTAGACATTTTCAGAGATGCTGCAGTTTTGATGGTTGCCTACATCGATCAAATCCGAGCTCAGGGATTTGAAATTGATTTCTTGAATATTGGAGGTGGGCTGGGGATTGATTATTATCATGCTGGAGCCATCCTTCCCTCACCTAGAGATCTAATTGATACAGTGAGAATTCTCTCCTTCTTTAATGTATATGGATTGTCAGCTAGGCCTTGTTAAAAGGCTATAGGTTATCTCAGCCTATATTTTAAAGTTGCATTGCCACTATCTAGAGCTGTGAGCCTGGTGCTACTGTATTAATACTTAATGTCATGTATCAACACCTGTTCTCTTCTAGGGAATGACTTTAGTTTGTTCACCAATACATGCAAATGGGATAGTCACACTTGTTTGCTTATTTTATTGTAGGTTCGGGAATTGGTTGTATCACGAAACCTCAATCTCATCATTGAACCGGGAAGATCACTTATTGCTAATACGTGCTGCTTGGTCAACCGTGTCACTGGAGTTAAAACCAATGGCACGAAAAATTTCATTGTAATTGATGGTAGCATGTCAGAACTTATACGTCCAAGTCTCTATGATGCTTACCAGGTGAGACTTGCCACCGTTCTGCTTCTTTCTATACCAACTATCTTTGAATTTTGATGGTGATGATTCAAAACTTGTCTCCTTTTTTTATTTTTTGTTTTAATAGATACAACATGATCTACCTCTTATTCATTAGTACTAGTATTATAGATGGTTGCATGGTTTTCTACTTGGATTACTTTTAACGGTGGACTTTAGAAGGTTGTATTTCGCAATTGTATTTGATTCTCTCAAAAGTTTGAACGATTAGTTTCTGTAGATGATTGGCCATTGCTCACTGCGTCTTTTTGGGTGCAGCACATAGAGCTAGTTTCTCCTACACCCTCAGAATCCGAGGTTTCTACTTTTGATGTTGTGGGTCCCGTATGTGAGTCTGCAGATTTCTTGGGAAAGAATAGAGAACTTCCCACCCCTCCTAGGGTAAGTTTTTATTTTTAATGGAGTTCAACAAATGCTTCTGAATCATACTGACAATGACCTTCACATTTAGGGTTCTGGCTTGGTAGTTCATGACGCCGGTGCCTATTGCATGAGTATGGCATCAACCTACAATCTAAAGATGCGCCCCCCTGAGTATTGGGTTAGTAATCCCAACCTCCGATTTACTATTCTTAAATTCAAGTTACATGTAGTCATGTTGTTATAGATACATGTATTATGTCCCACATTGATAAATGGGCTTGCTTATAGGATCTTGATCTACTCCATTGCCTTAAGGTTTTGGGTACACATGGAACTAATTATTGGTCTATCACTTAGCCAAAGAGTAATTTTGTTAAGCGTTATATTACATTTCTACTTTTTTACTCCATTTTTTACTTTCTACTTTTTTTTTTACTCCATTTTTTACTTTCGGGGGCTCACACATATTAGTTCTATCAGTGTTGCAAAAATCGCGCCTTAATCGACGCCTAGCGATTTTTTCAACATTGAGTTCTATTACTCCTTTGGAGTACACTTAGAATTAACATGCTCTCCATGCCCTTCCACATTCTTCCAAAAGGCTGAACCCCAACCCTAAGGGCCCTCACACTCTGACCCGACAGAGCATTTGGGAGGATGTAAATCATGGTAACTCAACTGAACATGAACCACATGCATCTATAGTTGGTAGACTTTGTTATTTAAGGTCTACATCAAGAAACATGAGAATCGTTTGCATCTTTTCTATTACTGTAAAAAGCTTAATCTTCTTTGGGAAATATTGAGACCCAAACGTACTGTTAATCGTACATGCATATTTCCAGGTTGAAGAGGATGGAAATGTGTCGAAAATCAGGCACGCAGAAACATTCGAAGACCACCTGAGATTCTTTGAGGGTCTCTAATTCCTCGGTCGTTTCAGCAGTTTCCTTTCTGTAGTTGCTTTCTTGTTTCCTTTCTGTAGTTGCTTTCTTTATTCTGTACCAAACTATTGTACTTTGTTTTTGAGACCCCAATTCTTGTTCAATAATATGTTGAATTTTATATTTTGTATTTATATCACGCCGTCGGCCTTTTCGTTAAATGGAAGGGGCGGATATCTTAGCAAAGGGTCGCTTCAACGTCGTTTGATGCCAAGTTTGCTGACAGTGTTGATGATAACGGATTGCCCTCACGTTAAGTCACCTCATGATAATGGGTTTTGTACCCATCTCGTTTCGACCGTAATGACATGATCCTACATAAAATTTATTCAATTTTAAGCTTAAAATATGTCCACTCTTATTTTCAAACTCTGCTATCTTTGTCCAACATAGAGCACCAAGAAAAGACCTCCATTAGATATGATTGATTAAATTAATTCAGATAGTCGAATTACTTAATCCGATAATTAAATAGTAATGATAAAGATAAAATATATGAATGTAAAGACAAGAATGTCAGTGAGAAAGGACAAGAATGTTGTCTTTAGGAATATTATAATGCTATTACAAAAGAATTTGAGATGTCTTAACAAGACAATTACAATTGAATATACACGAGGTTATTTCTGAAACCGCCTCCAAAGGGAAGTAGTTGCAACAATCTTGACCATGTCCAGCTTGCTTGACCGAGGGCGAGCACAGGGCTCGGCCTTTGCAGCGAGGGGGTGAGGCTGAACACATCATTAAAAACTAAGGGTGTGTTTGGTTCATTGGGTTACACATTAGGAATGAGAATCAAAATCATAATTAGTGTTTGGTTGACAATTTTTTAAAACACAATTATGAGATTTGATTACCCCTTCAATTAAAAAAACACATTCTCTAATTAAAAAAAAAAGTATCATTTCTATCTTATTGGTAATATGATTTTTGAGTTTGGATTAGTGCTTTTAGATTTTTGTTTTGATTTTTTTTTTTTTGTTCATATGGGTGCTTTGGATGTCATTATATTAAGATCAATTGTCTTGATTTTTTGTTTTGTTTTGTTTTTTTTAAACCTTTATTTCTATTATAACTTATTCATAACCAAACAACAATATTAGTAATAATTCAAATTTAACCATACTACCAAACATGTAAAATACTTCATCAAAACTCATATCATTACCAAGTATGATTCTCATTCCGATTACAATTCTCATGTGCAAACCAAACACACCCTAAATATAATATTAAGGAAGCTATTTTGTACAAAAAATATATTTAATGTAAGGTTATGCAATTAGTTTCAGAAAAAAAAAGTTTTTTTTTTTTTTTATAAAAATTATAATATCATTAAGTTAATTGACAAACACCATTGTACATTACTAATATCGAAAAATGTGGCTTTAGTAAAAGTAAGTAAAGAGAAAGCAAGTCAAATACTCACTCCGTCAAAGATTAGTAGAAAAGCCAAGGGCAATTTAGTCAAGCCATTGAAAATTTGTACTACTCCGTGGAAAAAATGTACACTCACTCGCCTCGGCGGTACTCCGCGTCAAACTGTTCCTTTGGATTTTTGTGTCCCTCTCCCACCCACCCCCGCCCGTCCTCCCCCCCCGCCCATCTTTTCATCCTCATTTATCTCTGTCTCCGTCACTGTTGAACTTGAGCATTCATCATCAGTATTGAGAGAAAACTCTGTGCGCGAGAGGGACCGAAACCGCCTTTCTACGCTACTCGTTTTTCCTCCATAAAAAGGTAGCATCCTCCTCCCTTATACTTCTCTTCATTCTCGCTCTGTCTCTCTCTCTCTCCCCGACTCCATCGAAACCCTAGTCTCATCGCCAATTCGCTCTGCTCCGCGCTCCAAACCGTTCAAAATTTCGTACATTCAACGCCTCGCTCGCCGATCGGTAATTCCTTGCTGCATTTCGTTTGCTCGGTTTCGTGCTTCGTCTTTGCTTATTTTCCTCCATTTTTAACTGTAATAGTAGCTGTTCAGTACTGGTACCTGCATTTCCTTTTCAATTATGTTTTTCTTAATCCATACTTGCTTGCTTTGTTAGAATTGAACTCTAGTCAACTGTAAGGGAGGTGCCGCGAATTTCGTACTACCACTGATGCACGGAAATCATTGATAATTTGCTTAATTATGTATGAATTGCTTGTCCAATGATGTAGTTCTCTCATTGAGATTCGAGAAGTGGTGCACCAAACATTTGTAATAAAAAATTTACTCTGTATGAAAGGATCAACTTAGTTGACCTCAAATACATTTGGATTAGGTTAGCTGAGGTTAAGAAATGAATACGTGGTTGATGGAACTGTTGTGATTTATACTTCAAAATTAGTTTCATTTTTGTTTGATGTGCTTTTAATGTAATAAATTGAGGTTGATGCTAATGAGTATGAATGATCTCTGTTCCTTTAGCATTGATTTGCCAAGTTGATAGTAATATAGTTTAATTTTCCTTGTAATTCATTTTGTATTGTTGCCTTATGGACTTCTGTGATGTTAAAGCAGAGTTCAACTGAGCATACTAAATTTCTTAACTATAGTATTGAAGTTGCTGTCCAATAATTTTGTTTGGAGTAATCATTTTGGCCATGTTCAGGTTTTGTTGCACTTCAGCCAAAGCTGCTTGCGTGAGCTCAACTGCAACTCTTTATCTACAGGTCTCTTCTGGGCATCTTACTCAGTCATGGCTGGTGACTCCACTACAGGGTTTGCTAATGGGAAAATCAATCCTCAGACTGACCCACAGAGGGCCTACCAAGTTGTAGTAGCTGCCACCCGTAATTGGGGTATTGGCAAGGATGGGAAATTACCTTGGAAACTTCCATCTGATCTGAAGTTCTTCAAGGAGGTTACCATAACTACATCTGACCCTAGTAAAAAGAATGCTGTTATAATGGGCAGAAAGACTTGGGAAAGTATCCCTCTTGAACATCGCCCTCTTCCTGGCCGTCTAAATGTTGTCCTTACTCGGTCTGGTAGTTTTGACATTGCTACTGCAGAGAATGTTGTGATGTGTGGAAGTTTAGGCTCTGCTCTGCAACTATTGGCAGCTTCCCCTTATTCTCTATCAATAGAGAAAGTCTTTGTCATAGGAGGTGGTGAGATTTTCAGGTTGGCATATTTACTTGCCTCCCTTTGTTTATTGTTTTTTTTCATTTCCTTGTAAACTCTTTTGTCCTTTTTTCCTTTCCCCAATTAATTATGTATGTATTATGTATATATATAAAATTTCAGGGAGGCCCTTAATGCTAATAAATGTGAGGCCATTCATATCACTGAAATTGAGGCAGACATTGACTGTGATACTTTCATGCCTGGTATTGATACTACTGCATTTCAGCCCTGGTACACATCATTCCCTTTGGAAGAAAACAAGATCCGCTTTTCTTTTACAACTTATGTTTGTGTGAGGAGTTATGAAGTAGATGTCCTTACTCAAAGCGATGCTCTCACTCCTGATAATGGCTTAGAGCTTGAAAAGGTTGAGGTTAAAGCATTCTCTTTCTTGCCTAAGATGATATTTGATAAACATGAGGAGTACATGTATCTGAGGCTGGTTGAGGACATCATAAGTAATGGTGCTTCAAGGGATGACAGGACTGGGACTGGTACTCTGTCAAAATTTGGTTGCCAGGTAGTGGTCATGTAAAGAATGCATATCTACGTGTGAAATGGTTTGGTTGATTTGTTATATTTATATCTACTTTAGTAATTTATTGACTTTTTGTGATTCCCCCCTCCCCATCTTCTTTTTAACTTGAAGATGCGGTTCAATCTGCGGAAATCCTTCCCACTTCTTACAACAAAGGTATCTCTAAAAGTTCAATTTGGATGCAATAAATAGGTTGCCTTCTCTGCTGTTTCATTTTCCTTTAATTAGCATGCTAAGGTCTGTATTGGGTTGTAGAAAGTATTTTGGCGAGGTGTTGTTGAAGAACTTTTGTGGTTCATTAGTGGTTCTACAAATGCTAAGGTAATTATCTGTTATCTCTATTCTGTTTTTTGTTCCTTATTTTTTTATTTGGATGACTTGGCCGTTTTTGCTTAAATATTGTAAGTGGTGTTAGTCTTTGTGTTATTATTATAACTTTATTTGTACAATTTGCAGGTCCTACAAGAGAAGGGCATTCATATATGGGATGGAAATGCATCAAGAGACTATCTTGACAGGTAGTACATGACTGTGTTGTTCTGTATACTTGCAATGATATGGATCTAAAAAACCATAATTCACTTTTTTTTTTTGTTTTTTTTTTGTTTTTTTTTTTGTTTCTAATTTCAGTATCGGTTTAGAGGATAGGGAAGAGGGTGATTTAGGACCTATATATGGATTCCAGTGGAGACACTTTGGGGCTAGGTGAGTTTCAATGTTACTTGTTTGACCTATAGTTAGTGAGAAGATTTAGTTATGACATGATTTGTTGGGCTTGCATTATGTAGGTACACAAACATGCATGCTGACTACACTGGGCAAGGATTTGATCAACTTTTGGATGTTATAAACAAGATTAAAAACAATCCAAATGATAGACGAATTATTCTTTCTGCTTGGAATCCTTCCGATCTCAAATTGATGGCACTTCCTCCTTGCCACATGTTTGCACAAGTTAGTATTATAAATAGTAGTTGTCAGACAATTTTACTTATCCAGTTTCTTAAATGCATGTTCTCATTCCTATTTGCAGTTTTATGTAGCCAATGGTGAACTATCTTGCCAAATGTACCAACGCTCTGCTGACATGGGTCTTGGAGTGCCGTTTAACATTGCATCTTACTCCCTTCTGACATGCATGATTGCCCATGTTTCTGGTATTATTACATAACTTATATCTGGTTCTGTGTTTGCATTAGTAATACTAAAGGTTGACTTGTCCAGAGGCAAAATGTGTTCCTTTGTGCTTTTCGCCTATTTGTCATAGCCTGATAGCCTTCAAAGTCTATTGTTCCAAGTGCTTCAGAAGGCATGCTTATGAGCATCCCGTCCATTATGAGTGCCTTATGGTTCCCTCTGTAATAGGTCTTGTCCCTGGTGAATTTGTTCATGTCATAGGAGATGCTCATGTTTACAGAACTCATGTCAGACCTCTGCAAGACCAACTTCAGAAATTACCTAGGCCTTTTCCAGTAAGAAATACAGAGTTTCTTAATTTCTTTTGCTTTTCTGTAGTTTGGTTCTCTCTATTCAATTTTCCGCTGGGAAGTGGTGGACATATGCTTCCTTTTAATATTCTTGATCTCTTTTTCTTTGTCTTTATTTTATTTTTTTCCTGTTGATCAACATTCATGTAGATACTGAAGATCAATCCTGAGAAGCAGGACATAGAATCCTTTGTTGCTGCTGACTTTAACCTAATTGGCTATGACCCTCACCAGAAAATAGAAATGAAGATGGCAGTTTAAAAAGTTTCAGATTTTCTTTGTGTGGGTAGAATAAGCATGAGATTCTCCCCACAAGGTATTATACTTTTGGACTGGTAAGTGGATCTTCTTTATTTCTCATTTTCTCCTTCTTACTTAAAGTCAAGCTCATTCAACTGTAACCTCTTGTTTTGTTGTTTGCATCCTGATAAATCTTTTTACGTGTTAAAATTGACTGGCATTGCGTGGTTTGTTGAAGTTAAAATTTCTTTCCTTTTTTATTTTTTCCAGGTAGTGCTACTTGGACCATTAGCAAGTCATTCAGAAATAAATCTAAGTATTATACTTTACATTACTGAAGTAGGGACCATGAATCCTTTAGTTCTACATGAAACTTGTGGTTCTAAAGTGATTTAGAATGTATCTTTTGGTTTGCTACTATTCCTAATGGGGCTTATTTTTTAGCTTCCCCCAATCTCTCCTTTTACTGGACAAGTATATCTCGTTTACAGTGATGTGTATATTTGACTACTTGTGCGGCTTATTAATTATAGAGGAAGCTGTTTTTGCTTTGTAGAGAGTTACATGATTGATTTTCTGTTTGTGTTAATGAGTTATGGGTTCATCTAAAGGATAAATATGAAAATTTCAACACTTACCCACCTTCTGTTTGTGTTAATGAGCTCTGGGTTCATCCAAAGGATAGATATGAAATTTTCAACATTTTCCCATCAAGGTCCCGTGTCTTCCATCTAACTTCTTGGAAATGTATTTGGTCGTGACTTTTGGAATTTAGAAAGTCTATAAAGCACTTTTCCCTTTGTCTTTTACTATTGGTTTCTTGCCAAGTTTTCCACTCAAAAAGTCTTGGTGCGTTATAAAATTATTGCCCAAATAGAATGCGATAGAATACCTGCTATATAATTTATGAATATTTTTGAAATAATGATATTGTTATGTATTATTTATTTATTTTGGAAATTTTGACGATTTTTCTAACTCTTATCACTAAGTGGAATTTACGTCCCGTTAGACGAGTAGACTTCACGCCTTCATTTAGTCCGCAAAGTCAAAAATCAAAATTGATTATAGAGATTTAAGAGAATGTCAAAAATCAAAATTGGTTATAAACTTATAATAGTAGGTTTAACTCTTAATCGTCTTTGAAATCTTTGAAAAGTATAATAAAGATGAAATCAGATGAAAAGTCTCCCAAGTTGGCTACTGTGAAGTGTGAACAAATAACATAGACGTTCCCTCAAAATTGAGCATACAATAGAGTATAGGTAAGAGGTGTGTGATGTAGCTTAGGGCTTGTGTTCATAATGATAATGATCGTAAATAATAATTTAGTGGGAGGAGGAGGAGGTTTCACCAGGTTCCTCATGTTCTGCATCTTGTTCTTCCATTGCTTTCGCTTTCTCCTTGCTTTCATCAGCTTCCCTTGTTTTCTCTTGGAGGAAGTGAAGGAGACAGTTGAGTGCTTCCTCGACTCCCTCATTCCTCAGCAACTGTTCGCCCACCTCTGCAGGTGTCACATTCACATTCTCCAACAGAAGTTGGATCTCTGGGAAGAGAGAATGGTCCTGAATTCCCAGATAATTGTCGGCCAAAGTCATGAAAGCAGCAGGCGTGCAATATGACATGTGGATGTGCACATCCATTCTACCAGGCCTCAGAAGTGCAGGCTCCAATCTCTCCTTGTGATTTGTTGTGAACACTATAATCCTCTCATCCCCACAGCTCGACCACAACCCATCAATGAAATTAAGCAGCCCCGATAATGTCACCTATACAATCGAGCACAGAATATATAAAATATAAATGTGAGGGAAAATCCCGTCTTACTTGAGTGCAGATTAAACTTACTTCTTGGGGTTTAGGCTTTCTAACAATGTTGATAGTCTGTGCTTGGCTGACATGATCTCTTAGCATCTTCAAAGCCTGTTTGTCTGCCTTCCCATCCTCTATATCCAGGCTGCAATCAATGTCTTCCACAACCAGTATCGATCTGTTCCCAGTGGCCAGAAGAATTCTCCTCAGCTCAGAATTGGCATGAATACCAGTCAGCTCCAAATCATATATGTCAAACTTGAGGTAATTAGCCATGGCTGCAATCAAGCTAGATTTCCCTGTCCCGGGGGGACCATACAACAGATACCCACGCTTCCATGCCTTGCCAACTTTCCTGTAGTAATCTCTCCTCCTCACAAACCTGTCAAGATCCTCCATGATTGTCTTCTTCAGCTCTGGATCAATAGCCAGTGTTTCAAACGTTGAAGGGTGATCCAGGTTAATGGAGTTCCACGTATAATCCCCAGAACTCGAATATACCCTCCTCATGTGTTCACTGTTCATAGTGTAGATTTTCAGAGTCTTCCTCTCCTCTTTAACTTTATTTGATTCATTTAGTATGAAAGGGAAGTAGGAATCTAACACCATGTTCTTGTGTTTCTTGTGAAAGATGAGCCTGAAATAACGAATTTCGGATTCTTGCCCCCCTGAAGATTGCCCTGGATACCAGCTCGACCGTTTGTTCTCCACCCTTACTGTAACCTGCCTCCATTTGAGCTTCACACCATTGAAAAAGTCAACTTCTTCCTGATTTCTGTCCACTGAAGTTGAGATTTTTGTCTCTTTTTCAGGCATGCTGACTCTGAATCTGCTAATGGAATTGGAAACCTTACTCCCCAAGTAGATTTCTGCTGCCTTGTATATTTGGTTGTTGCCCAGCCCGTCATATTCGTTGATGATCAACACCATATCAGAAGAGAAAGACTTGAAGAAGAGATTGATGTTTAAGTAGACATATTGTTGCAGTTCATATGGTATGAGGTCCCTGGCCAGTGACCTCACCACCATGGCTGATGCAGCTACTGAAGCTGCTGTTGAAACAATGGTTTTCGCAGAGGCCATGTTTATGTTGATGTGATCAGAAAGAACATTAGAAATCATTGTATGTTGAGACTTGAAGAAGAAGAAGAAAATGTACTCTGAAGGTGATGAGAATCTGTGAGTGGTTTTCTTGAATGAATACAAGGCCTTAATACTATATACTAGGGGTTGTGGAAACCAAGGCAAATTTCTTGGCTAGTATTCATACCTGGCCAACTGGTCTTCTTTGATTTTTCTTCCCCATTTGCCAATTTCTTGTTTGTCATTGTCTGCATTGACTTCCAACTGAAGTCAATAGTCAATGCGGAAGAAATCAGAAAAATACAGACAAATCACATAGTATTTATCAGCTCATGCCCTAAAAACAAGTTCCCGGTCTTCCAAATTCCATTCTAACCCTAAATACATTTAAGTTTCTAGATCTAAATATAATCTAACGATATTGAATAAAATCTACCAGAAACCTAAACAAAACAAGTTCCCAATCTTCCAAATTCCAACCACATATTATTTCTAATAAAATATCAAAACCAGGATTCAGAATTTATATATAAATATAATATAGTGCTAATACATTAGGATTATGGTTTCCAACTATTTCTACTGTACACATCACATTCCAGTTTCTATCATCATGGGCAAGTCTACAGGAAATTGTTGATGCCAAATACTAACATCATATCAGCTTGACCTGTATTGTGACCTCGATCTTAACCTAATTAAGTCACAACTAGGATTATGAATTCTTGATGCCCTACAATCCCCTACCAAAACCTACTTGCGTAGGACGACTATCGGATCGGATGCCCGAAGATTGTAGGATACCCGCCATATATAACCCACTTAGCTTGCACCACGTGTCGAATGTCTGAAGGATGACAATATACATACTGAAGTTGATCTAGAACAACCCAACCTGGGTAGCTAAACTTGTGCTCCAACACAAGCACACATAATATGTATATATTTCCCAATCTCTTATGGGAATAGTATTTTCTTTTTTATAATTTTCTGGGAGATCTGATCTATGTTTAAGTTGAACCAAAAACTGACAACTCTTCTTCTTCCCTCAAAGCCCTTTGTTGCCTTGCAATGAAATCCTCCACTTTACGCCTAAAGGCTTCGCTGCTCATTTCTTCCGTCGCCACCTCACTTTTCCGGCGACTCACGGACGTCGCAGACCTCCTTAGTTCCCTCCCAGGCGCTTCCTCGCCGCCGCAGTAGTTTAACCTCTTCAACTTCTCCGACTGGCTCCTCTGCATTATTCTCCTTTCTTTGGCGTAATATGTACATGCAGTAGTTTGTTTCACCTGTTTCTTCATCTCCCCATTATAGTTGCTGTAAAAGCTCTGATTCTTATTCCCAGATTGTTTCATGTATTCCTCGTGGAAATCGCCTTTCCCATTGCCGGCGGACCCATGTTTCTCCGGCGAATGACCGGACTGGAGGAACAAGACGATGAATATGGCGTTTCCGACGACGAACACGAAGCGGGGACTGATCAAGGCGCCGGAGAGCCCCCTGAAATACTCGCCGGAGAGTTTGAAAGCAGCGACGTTCAAGTGAGCGGAAACCCTACAGACTATGCCCAAAAACATGCAGAATTCAAGAAACCGGAGCGCGGCGGTGACCATTTGCATCCTCCTAAACCTCTGAATCGCCTTCGCCTTCTCGGCTTTGATGTTCCTAAAGTTGTCTGGACCCATTACAGAAACTTCGGGTGGTTTTTTATCGGATCGGAGACGATGGAAGTTGGCCGGAATGGAGTATTATTTGTGGTTTAATTTCTCACTCGAAAAACAAGCGGCTTTGGATCGGAATCCTATGTATAGCCACTCTGAACGCACAGGAATTATGAGTTTCAGAACTCATAATGAAGAGTAAAGATCATACAGGGGAATTGAAAGAAATGGAGAAAAACAGAAGAGAGAAGAAAGAACTTCTGCTTTGCTTCTTGTGCTTCTGCTTCGGAATGGAATGGAAGCACTAGGGAGGCACTTCTATATATAGTGCAAAATAATTATTTATTTATTTTTCTTCTTTCCATTATGCATGGTGTATTATATTTTTCAAAATATACCCTATATGGCCAAAGAATCTTCATTACTTTTTAATTTTTAGCCATAGGTAATATCTCTCTTAATGGTAACTTTAGTGAGTGCCCGCTATAACAAATTAACAATGATTTATAGATTGAGTCAGCTATATTTTTATAATCTTAGGTGATTTATCTTCTTACCTTTTTTTTTATTTTTTATTTTTATAATCTTAGGTGATTTATCTTCTTATCTTTTTTTTTAAGAACACAAAGTCTACTTTATTTAGAGTGCACATTTGGTAACAGTTTTTCCATAAATCAAATAACTAATAATTTTGTCATTTTTCTAAAATTTCAGGTCGGTTGTTCCACCCAAAGAGGTGCCTACATTCAACGAGGGAATTAGTCACTATGGTTAAAAAATTAATTGAAAGTATATGGTAAATAAGCAGGGTACATAATAATAAAATGTGCATGTTGATTGTAACAAGACTACGAATGTTATTCGAAAGTAAATCAACTTAGATTGTATAGCTGATCAGCTCAAATTAAAAAGATAAATAGGCAATCAAGCATCTAATTAACTTGGCTTGGTTACACATCATGTTCATTGAATCATTGTATTGATTTGGTGTAAAATAGGGGATCAACAGTACACTTTCTAAAAGTGTAACAGTGGGGCATTTTAGGTACAGGCTTAGACATGATGTTTTGATACTACAAGTAGCTAATTAATATAATTAAGTTGAGAATATGGAATTAGGATAGCATCTCCACCTCAATTATTCAGATAAGGAATCATCCGATCCACATGCAATCCTGTAATGATGATGAGAGTGAGACAGATCAAGAAGTAACCAAGCCTTTAATTTTATTATGGATTAGTTTATTTTATTATGGTTGAGCGGCATAGCTGTGACCCCTTAAATGAGTGGTACGGTTTCAGGTTTGAATTTCAGTGTATGGACATTGACCTTTTGTGCTTAGTAGATTGAGAAAGTAGGTATAAACAGAAATTATTACATTGTAATAGAGTCAATAGTATTAAAAAAAAACGTATATCTCTGTAAAAGTGTTAATTTCTATGATGATGTCGAGAACTCAAACCTAGCTAGTAATGCACACTTTATTATGGGCGTGAGCATATAGCCATTAATGTGCAATCCAACTATTAGCTTAAGCTTTTAATTGAGATGGAGTACATGCTTCAATTTGGTATCAGAGCCAGACCTTTAGCCATTAATGTGCAATCTAACTATCAGCTTAAGCTTTTAGTTGAGATGGAGTACATGCTTCAATTATGGGCAACTTATATAGGGGGTTGAACTTTAAAATTTTGTGATTATTAAGTTAATTATCTGATTAATATGATTAAGGTTACCTCCTTTGATCTTTCGGTTTAAAACTAGTTAGGGTAGGCCAAAATTGTCTTAACATTAAGAGGCAGTTTATATTGTGGACCACGAATAAATGTTTAATTTTAATATACTTAATGTATATTATTTGTATATTAAAGGTTCATTATTTGATAAATAATGAACCTTCAATTTAGTACTCAAATAATGTACATATATTTAAAAGATTAATGTTTAGCGTATAAAAAAATATACATTTAATATGTTATAAATATATGGTATATCAGTATTTCACCATATAAGGTGAATCACAGTCCAGGTATATTGATTGACTTAGTGGGCAAGAAAAGATTCAATCACTATGAGTTAATCCTTTCGAATAATCTAAATATCTACTATCTACTAAATGTATATAAATTAAATATAAATATAATAAGAGCCAATGTTGCTAAGAGTATAAAAGGAATAAATATTATGTTGGTATAATAATGTGTATTGATAACTTTACATTTTCACTTATTCATTGTACAATAATAAAACATTTTCAAAGTTATCATCTTTCATTTATGTGCAAACTAACAAGCCAAGCATTGGGTGCTCAGATGGAACTAATAGGGCTCTCATTGAGGGAAGGTTACAGGATCAAACCTTGATGGTGGGGTCTTGATTCTTTGAGTTGAAAGTTTACAAGATGCATAGTTCACATAGGTAAACTTATTATAATGATGTTACTTTTTTTTTTTTTTTTTAAAAGTTAAATTTTACTTGACTCATCGATATCTCATTAAAAAACCTTAACATATTTTAATATTAAAATTGTTAAGACATCATTTTTATTCTCAATTATAATTGCTACTACTACTAGTTGAAATTATATTCATTTTGATATATTAAAATAATCATTGTCCCACCCCCCTCCCCCCACCCCTTCCCCTCCATTCGATCGAAAAAGAAAAAAGCATTGTTAATTTATATTAATCATTTAATATTTAAAAATTATATAAAGTATTTACTTATTTTAATTTTTGTATTGAATATTAATTTAATTGTGTAATACGCACATTATAACTATATTTATAACCATAATAAAGAGCATAAAATTCTGCATATCAAATTAAGTGTAATAAAAAACTACTTTGGAAAGCAAGCACTCCATTGGGCTCGAAAGCCTTTCCTTAGTTATTAAGAAAATGTGAAGTAAAGGTCTTCTTCCTTTTCACGTTATAATAATAGGTTTGATTTTTCTTTGTTGGGGCCGGGACACATGCACACACCAATCAATAATGGAGGAATGATTTAACGTGGCTATTAAAATCAATTTTGTTTGTTTTTGTCTAGAAAGGGAGACGAGATAAATGAAACATGATTCTCGTGTTATAAAATTATAAATTTATTTTTTTTTTCTAATTTCTTTTCAGTCTACCTTATCATAGTATTTGGTAACAGACATCTTTAGTGTAGGGCAAATTATTGTATGAACCATTATAAAAAGTACATTTTTAATATACTAAAAGTACATTATTTATGTACCCAGTACTTAAATAATGTATTTTTTCTGAATACAATGTATATTTTTAATACACTAAAAATACATTATTTATGTGTACTAAATATACATTATTTGATAGTATAGTCCACACAGTTGTGTAATTGCAAGTGTAATTTATGAGCTAATAATATATATACATTATTTGATAGTATATCACACTTTTTTTAGTAGTGATTTATATATGGTTACGAGTTTTCCTATTCGTAAAAAAAATTATTTGTTTTTATTTGCAAAATGGCCCCTCTAACTTTTACGATTTTTTAATGCAAGTTCCTAAAGTATTATACTTAAGCCCTACACTTGCCACTTGGTCTTTCAGTCTTCCACTTAGCACTAAATTATTGTCTATTGAGTTGGACCCATTCAACGCCACGCCGGTGAGTATTTTTCATGTGACTTTTAAATGCTTTTACTCCTTCCTTCTTACATGCACTACCACAATAATTTCATTTTTATTTTTATTTGTTTAAAATATTTTAAATAAAAACAAAAACTTTTACTACTCCTTTGTCACTTTACTTATTGTACAAAACTTCATACCTAAATTATGGTATAGAATCTCGATAACAATTAACAAAATAAAGTGACTAAACTTGGTCAAAGTGAGATCAGTCAAATGAGATCGGCTCAAGTTTTATTTGAAGAATTAATCCAACAAAACCCAGTCCATTGGAGCTATCAAGGGGTGTTATCACTGTTATGAAGTCAATTGATTTGCGCGTGAGGTGCTTAATTATGTGTTTATTGTTTGCATAATATTTATAGTTATTTATAATATTTGATTTTTTTAACATAAAAGTAGATGTTATTGTGCATTATGTGTAAGAAAAAATAATTATTATGCTCTTATTTTAAAAAAGTAAACAATATTTGTAAGACCAACTTTACCAGGAAAAAATAAAAAAATATGGGCCAGGTAAAGTGGGTTGAAAGATTGATGAGTTAGTAATGGATTTTGTATATGAATCTTTTATCTTTATATATGTCATATAGAATAAAGTATACCATTGATTCATACTAAAGAGTGGTCCATAATAACCATATTCTTTGCGGAAAAATATAGTTAATTTTCATACCATAAGATCATGAATTTTATTTTTGTTCCTCCCAAATACTCTGTCGGGCCGGGGTGTGGGGGGCCCTTAGGGTTGGGGTTCAGCCTTTTGAAATAATGAATTTTATTTTTGTCAATACTCTCTCAATTGAGCATATCACATTAAGTCTTGTTAGTGCACACATTAGAGTAGTGATTACAAGTTTTTCTCATCACCTAATATAAATAGTCAATTTCAAAGATTTGAAAATGAACTAAATATAATTAGGTATTATTGGTTAAAAGTGGTTAGGTTTTAGGTCCACTGCAATAACCAAATTCATTGAATGGTTAGGTCTCTAACTCAAAATACTAGATTCTGTACCAAATTTTACACCAAAAGAAATATCCGTAACATATTTTTAAATCAGTTTTTTTTTTCATCTCTAACCCATTTAAACCAAATTTTATTTTTACACTAAAATAATTTATATTCTCATAAATTAAAAGTTTATATGTATACTTTTATTATTTTAATATAACATATATTTTTAATTTAATGTAATTTAATAAATTACAACTTTAATTATGTTTTATGTGGTTTAATATTTAATTAAATTATATTCAATATTAGTTTTGTTTTAATCATTTTGATGATGAGATATTTCAAATGATATAATTAATTTTTTATAATATACAATTTATGTCTAAATATTTAATAAAAAAATGTAAATATATTTAAAAAAAAAAAGGATACAAAAAAATTATTTAAAAAAAAAAAAACCATGACAAAACAGGGACAAAATGAGAAACAAATTCCTGCACCAAAAATGGCATTTCGTGAATAGTGCAGTGCCATATATGGCACTACAGTATTCATGAAACGTCAAATTTTTGCCACAATACCATGTTCTTTGGAGCAGTTTGATATGCGTCGTTTCTTTTGATATTTTGATGCTAGGTTAGAGATAATCTTATAACTCATATTTCCGGGCTCATTTGCTTGCATGTTTATGTTATCCAACTATAACTAAATAACAACACTATGAGCAAAAAAAAAAAAAAAGTTTTTTTTTTTTAATATTTAGATTAGAGAAAAAATGAAGAATCTAAAAAATTCATTATAAAATATAGGTGGCTTCCAAATGTGTAGGTCCTAATCTTTATGACCTTAGTTTGATGTCAATCAATATGCACACATTATTTTTAAGATATATGATATGCACATATACCGCATATGGAGGTTATTAAAGTTAAAGTGTTAAACAACTCCAATAATATAATATAATATATATCTGCAAAAAGCAAAAGAAAGGTGTCCCTAAATAATGGCTATATCAAAATGTATAGACTGAATTGAAGTTTGATGCCAATCAATATACATACAAAATATTTTTAATGAAAATATAAACTTCGATACACTCATGCACCTATATATATCGTATAGAATTATAGAGGTCATTGATAACGTTTTGGAATATGCATTTACTTTTGTATATTACTTCGACTTAAAAATAGAAAATAAAGAACGGAAAATCAGATAAATGAAGTAAAAGTAACCTAAATGTCTTAACTACTTTCAAAAAAAAAAAAAAATGTCTTAACTAATTTGTAGAAATGATTATTCTTTTAAATATGTACTTATAGGGTCTTAGTGCAAAGTTAATGGTGCTTTTGAGATCCTAATTCCGCTTTTTGTAAACCTAAAAAGGTTTCTGAGAAGATAAGGATACTCATCAACAAATTCCACCCTAGTTGGTTTATTAAATTAACCTTGTATACTTTAGTCCTTTTCTTTCTTTCTTTTTGAATTATTAATGTAACAAAGAGGAAAATAAAATATACAATGTCATATAATAAAAACATTATGTTACATCCTGCTATCCCGCTTGTGTGTAATAGCATACGAACAACAAATTTGACCGAGAGCTACATAAAGATGTTAGTATTAACTTGTAAGGTATGAAAATTATGCTCGACCAACTCGATCACCATCTATGCAACTCCTTGACTCTTTATTAACTCATAATGGAATTAACCAATTCATAAAATAATGAATAACATTGAACAATGAAACTTACAATTTTTTTTTTGTCTATGTTAAACTAATAACACATCATTAATTTTGTAAATTTGATTGTATAACATTGCATAAAATCTAAAAAAAAAAATTAATTTTATCTCTTTAACCGCACATAAAAGGTAAACTACACTAGGAAAACGATGATCGACAAACTCGACCAACGGGTGTTGACAAAAATCAAATTAAACTCGTGATTTTTTGGCACAAGAATCATACTATAGTACGGGTCACTCAACCTGGCCAACATTTTTAAATTATAATTCTTTTCAGGGATGGATGATTCTATGACACGAGGGGTACAAATTCCATATGCATGCTTCGTTGAACTAACAGACCAAAATGCCAAAGAAAAAAGTTAGACAAATCTTGATGCATGGCATGAGTAATATGCTTTGGTTTTGATCATATGCACACGGTATAACACGGTGGAATAAGATCATTTTGAGTTGGATGCCACTCTTTGTCCCATACATGCTCTTCTATTTTATTACCAATTAGCTTTTCCAAGAATATTTATTAATCTTATTATTAGAATATATGCCATGCTAATGACCTTGTGGTCTAGGGTCACGAAGTGACTCTTCTAAATCGAAAGTCAGTAGTTATGAACAGATACAACATTGTAATAGAGTCAGTAATACAAAAAAAAATATATATAATATGGCATCCCATTTTTTTTTTCAATGATGAGAAAAATCATTAATTATTATTTGAAGGTGTGCACTGAGTTAACACAAATTATTGTGTAATAGCCCAAAAATTACACAGACATTAAAAAAAGAGTTAATTCCAGCAATAGTCCTCCGACTATAGTGATTTTCCAAAATTAGTCCCTGACTTTTAATTTGGACACTTTAGGTCCCTTGATTTTCAATTTATTTCCAATTGAGGTCCTTTCGTTAGAATACGGTTCATTAGACTTTAAATGAAGGGGTAAACTCGTCCTTTCACATGCCTATGTATTACTCTTCGTATTTCTCCCTTCGTATTTTGCTGTTATACCTTGTAAACATCTCAATAATAGAGGAACGCACACACGAGTAGTCAGCAAATGGAGAACGACAAGGAACATTTTAGGGTTTTGACTAAGATTATCTTCATATATATCGCGTATACAATGGAGAAATACTAAGAATAATACATAGGCAGGTGAAATGATGAGTTTACCCCTTCATTTAAAATTCAATTAACTGTATTCTGACGAAATGACCTCAATTGGAAAGAAATTGAAAGTCAAGGGACCTAAAGTGTCAAAATTAAAAGTCAATGACTAATTTTAGAAAATCAATTTAGTCGGAGGACCATTACTGGAATTAACTCTTAAAAAAATCATGTGCGAGGCGATAGACTTGATCTAGATAGTTATGACAATAATATTTTTGTGACATTCTTCTCTAGTATCAAGATTTAAAAAAAAAAAAAAAAAAAAAGTATAGTTAACAAGCCCAATAATGGAGCTTGTCACTTGGGCTTTCGTGAGTTTCGCAGGCTTCTGCTATTTCTTGGATTATGCCTTAATAAATGATGAGATTTTTGGGGTTTACAGGCCCAAATATTTTCCGATAGCCCAAAACTCGACCATTTTAGGCCCTGTGAGGTTCAGCTTAAATGCCCAGAGGTGATAAAACCCTAGTTTCTTCGATTGGCCTTCGAAGCTCGAAGCACATCATACTTATTTCCGAAGTCCTCTCTGCCTCCACCTCCGTCGTTCGTCGTCTTCCTCATCGCTTCAAACCTCCATGGTACGTTTATGCGCTTCTCTTCAGCTCGATTGATCTACCTGTATTCTTGCGGATCGATATTTGCAGTTATATAATGGTGAGCGCTTGTGATTGTAGGCGCCGAAGAAGGAAAAGGCTCCACCTCCGTCTTCGAAGCCCGCCAAGTCCGGCGGTGGCAAGCAGAAGAAGAAGGTCATCTTCCTCTTCCTCTTATCTCAATCTGTATTGTATACTCTGCATTTATTATAGTTGGTAATTTTAGGAAATACATGAATCTGGAGGGATGACTATATTGTTTTCTTAGTGTGTATTATTTTTGTGAATATGCAGAAATGGAGCAAGGGAAAGCAAAAGGAAAAGGTTAACAACATGGTGCTTTTCGACAAGGCCACATACGACAAGCTGCTCACTGAAGCCCCTAAGTACAAACTTATCACCCCCTCCGTCTTATCCGACCGTCTCAGGGTATATACCATATGCTTTAATGATTCGCTCATTGTTTTTAGTATCACCATTTTAGGTGATTGGTGTTAGATCCGATGTGCTAATGCCCCTTGCTATAGTTTAAGCTTTTCTGAGTTTGCTTAGTTCTGATTAGTATTGCGAAAGAGTTGAATTGTGAAATTGGTAATAATTGACTCCAATAGTTGTTGAGTTGGAAGCTCTGTGAAAACGATTTCTTGCATTAACACCAACCAGAGCTCCAAAATTGCACTATTAACTACAATTAGAAGTTCAAAGCAATGGTCTTTTCAATGTTTGTCTAATTTGTTATGTTTTCAAGTTGATGCATTGCGTGCTCACTAATAAACTAACAGTTTCTCGGATTTAATTGAATATATGGTGAGGCAATTCTGTTCCAAATGGCATTGTTAACTGTCTAGTTAGATGGCTTATAAGCAATGTGAAATGTAATGCAATCAGTTTCTTACATATGATGCACAAAAACTCTCAAATCTGAGCATTTCTTCTCAAGTAAACTTATGGATCTTTCGTATCTTTTCGTATGTTCTGTTTCTTGTGTCTCATTTTGGTTACCTAGTTCTCCTATGTTCCATTTTCCATTTCTCGTTTTTGTGTGTTACCTAGTTGTCTTGTGTTACGATTTCTCGTTTTTGTGTTACCTAGTTGTCTTGTGTTACGATTTCTCGTTTTTGTGTTACCTAGTTGTCTTGTGTTGCGATTTCTCGTTTTTGTGTTACCTAGTTGTCTGATGTTACGTTTTCCATTTCTCTTTACCTAGTTGTCTTATGTTACATTTTCCATTTCTCCTATGTTCTGTTTTCCATTTCTGTGCCACCTAGACATTTACTGATGTTATGATCCCTTTTCCTTCTGACAACAAACATTGCAGATAAGTGGTTCACTTGCTAGAAGGGCAATCAGAGAATTGATGGCCAGAGGCTTGATCAGGATGGTGTCAGCTCATGCCAGCCAGCAGATATACACTAGAGCAACCAATACCTAAGTTTTGGACTTTTAGTTGAATGGAGGGCTCATTCATGGGTTCTCTCTCTTATTAGACTCCATCTATATCTATTGTGTTTTCAGTTAGCCATTTGTCTTCTCATTTTCACAAATGTGGAGTTATCAAGATTTTGTTGCTACTTCGAGCAAATGGTTTTCTTCAAGTCATTTCTTGCTCTTTAATATCGATTTATTGGCATTCTAATTTCCCCCCTTCTAGCTACTGCTTTGCCTTCTCACAACAAGAATAATCATTCAAATTTGAGAAAATGATCATTTTTGTCATACGACAAGTTGCAAGAGTATAATTTAAAGATGAGAAGTGTCAAATTTTTTATAAATAAATCATTTTAATTAACATCTATAAGCATGACACAATCTCCACTTCTACTGTATCAGCATAAGTTTCACCTATATGCCAAATTGCCAATAGTCTAGTTGGCAGTTTTATCCAGTGGGCATGTACATATCTGTATCAGTACATGCCACATTAAGCACTTTAGCTAAGGACATCTGATTAAAATTGGACCAATTGGGGAATTTGCGATTTATATGGTAAAGTAAAATAAATTGGATATTTGGTAAATAGTTGTTAATTAATTAGGTTAGTGGGTTTGATAGTTGATAGCATTAGTTGATTGTTAAAAGATATTTGGTACGTTTTGAAGCATTAAACTATTACAAAAAGTTAATTAACTAAATATTTATATTAATTATTTAATCAATTCAAACAGTTAATAATGATAAAATATTTGATTAAATAAATTAAAATTGACTGATACATTATGTTATTAAACATGACAAAAATAAAACTAGTCATTTGAACTTGATCTGAGCTACCGACAACCTAATTTGGTACACTCGCAGTATCTGCGGAATTGCACAAATCATGAACTCTACTGTACTGTATAACTACTATACGTTATACACTATATATTTTTGTTTTTTTGTATTGCATGACGAGACACGTGTTGGTCTTCAACGGCCTTGGCTGTCCAAATTTCTGAAGAAGCCTGGTAACGTGGCATTATAGAAGAGCCATTTTAGCTGTATTGGGATCGGAGTATAAAGAAAGTATCAGTGTAGAGAGAGAGAGAGAGGATCACTATCACTCTATCAGATCGCTGGTCATTATGATTATGGAGTACTTTTGCCAGTAAGGGAAAGTACATGCACAAAAGCAGTAACATTTCCCGTGAGAAACTCACCCACCACCGCCATTGTCACCTTCCATTCACGCACTTTGCTCAGTCCCAGGAAAAAAAAAACAACTTTTTTTCCTTGATTCTCAGTTCGGGTAACTAAGAAATTTTACTTTATTGCTCATTGCTAATTCCTATGATCTGAGCTTTTATAAAAATCAAGTCTTGTCCCTCTATTCTCGTACAAGATTCATCGGTTTTCAAAACTTCATCTTGGGGCTACTGGAACATGATTTCATGATTTAATATATTTTTTTTACTGTATATAACTTCGTATACTATACTCTGTGTAGTTTATACTTTTCTTGGTTGCTTAGATTAGTGTTCTGTTGACTCTACTTTACTCGGTTTAGAAAAAAAAAAATTGCTTCATTTTAACGTTCTGGTTTTCATTTGTTCATCAACCATTAGCATAAACTGGGAGGTGTAATTTCTTGGTTGGATGTTATAGAGAGTGAACTGTGATGGATGCCTATTGTGCAACTTTGAAATCCACCACTCACTTGCCAAGGGAGAATGAGTTATGGGGGAAGAGGATGATAAACAACAGTGTTTTGGTGAACCCGTTTGGGAAAAGTTTGAAACTTGAAAGAAATGGAAGGAAGATTAAGCCTGGGGTTGCTTTCTCTGTTCTCACTAGAGAAACTGGGAAAGAGACTCTGGTAAGTTTGATCATTTCTGGTGTTCTAGCCTGTTTATATCTTGTGATTTGCTGTTTTGTTGAATGAAATTTGTGATTTAGACTGTAGAAGCTCCAAGACTGGAGAGAGTGAGGGCAAACCCTAAAAATGTGGCTGCCATCATACTGGGAGGGGGTGCAGGGACACAACTATTTCCACTTACCAACAGAGCTGCAACTCCTGCTGTAAGGATTTTCTTACTGTGCTGATCTTGCTCCTTCTTTATATTTATATATTGGGATCAAATGAGAATTACTCTTGTTAGAATTTCGAACTATATGTAATGTCTGATTGTGTATTTGCGGATAATTGATTGTGTACTTGAAAACATGCATTTCTGTAATTACGATTGGCTCTGATACCAAATTGAAGCATGTGCTCCATCTCAACTAAAAGTCTAAGCTGATAGTTGGATTGCACATTAATGGTTATATGCTCAACAAGTTCTCTTCAGCATTAAATGGATCAAGTGAAAAGGAAGCATGGTTTGCTTTGTGTATTGTTGTTTCAAAGAACTGATTTTGTTAGGGGTGTGATCTTCAGGTTCCGGTTGGAGGATGCTATAGGATGATAGACATCCCGATGAGCAACTGCATCAACAGCGGAATTAACAAGATTTTCGTGTTGACTCAATTCAATTCTGCCTCTCTCAACCGCCACATTGCCCGCACCTACTTTGGCAATGGTGTGAGCTTCGGAGATGGATTCGTCGAGGTTCGTTGGAACCAGTACCTATGATTCCTCTCTGCAACCTAGTATAGAAACTGTAGTTCTGTTGGACTGACAAACGTGTCTGTGAATAGGTTTTAGCAGCAACTCAGACATCGGGAGAAACGGGAATGAAATGGTTTCAAGGACCTGCAGATGCTGTTAGGAAATTTACATGGGTATTTGAGGTACTGCATATTTCATATGATTTTTTTGTTTTCTTTTCTGTTATAAGGATATATTTCATCCATAGAATTGCGACTAATTCTTGCAGGATGCGAAGAATAAGGACATCGAGAATATACTTATTCTGTCTGGCGATCAGCTTTACCGAATGGATTACATGGACTTGGTTCAGGTTTCTTGATTTCGAATTATGAAATAATCAGTTTCCTATTCGATACTGTAAAGGGCTAAACTGGCATCGCTTTTTTCATTTCTCGAACAGAGCCACCTGGACCGCAATTCTGATATTACTCTTTCTTGCGCACCTGTTGGGGATAGGTATGAAACTTACAGGCTTAGAGCTGATATGATAAATTTCTAGTTTATCGTTTGCGAGAATTGTAAAGTTCAAAACATTACTTTCAATATTGTCTATCAAATTGGGTTTTTACTTGTCAGCCGAGCGACAGACTATGGGCTGGTGAAAATTGACCACAGGGGCAAAGTTGTCCAGTTTCACGAAAAACCGAAAGGTGCTGATCTAGAAGCAATGGTAGGCACACATGACACCTTGAATCCTTTATTCTTCGGGTTACTCTTTAAAGGGATACATATACTGATAGGACGTTACGTTAATTGATTTTATATTCGTTCGATTGTATTGCAGCAAGTAGATACTACTCGACTGGGATTGTCTCCCGAAGATGCCAAGACAAATCCTTATATTGCTTCGATGGGGTTATATGTATTTAGGAGAGATCTTTTGTTGAAGCTCCTAAGTTGGATATATCCCACTGCCAATGACTTTGGCTCTGAAATCATTCCCGCAGTTATCACAGAACACAATGTTCAAGTAGGAAACGTCTTTTCTCTATCCATATTTACTCGTTTCCTTCGTTTTATGAATTGGTAGTATATTTGCGCAGGCTTACTTCTTCAAAGACTACTGGGAAGACATTGGAACGATAAAAACTTTCTACGATGCTAACTTGGCCCTTGCTGAAGAGGTTTTGTCCATGTTCTCGTTTAATATGCTTTTGCTCTGATACCAAATTAAAGCATGTACTCCATCTCAACTAAGAGCTAAGCTGATAGTTGGATTGCACATTTATGTTTATATATTATATGCTCAAGTAAATGGTTGTCTGTTGCAGTTTCCAAAGTTCGAGTTCTATGATCCAAAGACGCCTTTCTATACATCTCCTCGATTCCTACCACCAACCAAAATCGATAACTGCAAGGTAAGCCAGTGATCGAGTGGAATGTCTTCTAGGATCTACACTCACTCGAGGGCATGAACCTTAAGCGAGCACTGTTATGTTTTTGTTGCAGATCAAAGACACCATAATCTCTCACGGGTGTTTCTTGCGAGAGTGTATTGTGGAACACTCGATTGTTGGTGAGAGGTCACGGTTAGATTTCGGTGTTGAGCTTAAGGTTTGCACATTATACCCGCCTCGGTCTCTCTTAACTGATGATGTTCTATATTCTAATGGACTGCAAAGATGGTTTTATGGAATCTCGGTTTACTATTTTATTGCACTTTCAGGATACGTTAATGATGGGGGCAGATTATTACGAAACAGAATCTGAAATTGCATCTCTTCTGGCTGATGGAAAAGTGCCAATTGGGATTGGACAGAACACAAAAATTAGGTAATTCAAACAACATTAATCATAGTTTTCGTGCCCACTTGAATTGATAATATTTGTTTTACTAATACTATAATTTCGTTCAGCAACTGCATTATTGACAAGAATGTAAGGATAGGGAAAGATGTGATTATCGCGAACAAAGATGTGAGTTTATATTCCTGCACTCGTTTCCTCCATTGTTAGTCGAATAAAATGTAAACGCATGCCATGGTCTTTCAGGGAGTTGAAGAAGCAGATCGGCCCGAGGAAGGGTTCTACATTAGATCCGGGATTCCGGTTATAATGGAGAAAGGAGTGATCAAAGATGGAACAGTCATATAATATGGTTGGAGAAACATTAATCTGCAGAGAATTATGTTTCCATCTAGGATAGCTGAGGTTTTTCATCTCCAGAAAACCAAGTTTTGTGCATTCTTTCCAGTGTACAAGTACAAGTCAGATATATTTATGGTTTTCTCTTTCTTTTTGGTTGTAAAATTATCCAAATTTATATGAAGAATAAATAATCCAGCTTTAGTTGACAAAGCTAAAAAATGCCCAGCTTGACAAATAATTACTTTTGGTCTCTCGACTTCCGTTGCATTTTCATCTATAGTTCTCAACTAGTTTATCAGTTAATTTAGACTTATTTAATTATTATTAACTGTTTGACTTGATTAAACCGTCAATATAAATATTTGATTAATTAACTTTTTGTAATAGCAAACGCTCTTTATTTTGTAAGTAAATTAGCTTTTCAGCTAATCGTTAATTTATCAAACATTTTTCTATAATCAAGTCAAGACAATACACTTTACCATCACCGAGTCCAAGAGACAAGCAAAAGTCAAGACAATACACTTTACCATCACCGAGTGCAAGAGACAAGCAAAAGTCAAGACAATACACTTTACCATCACCGAGTCCAAGAGACAAGCAAAAGTCTATGCTTGAGTGTAGGCAGAAATTTCTTTAATTGATATCTAGTAATAAGAAATTTATTTACATTGTTAATTCGATGGTTTCAGCGGTCTAATTATTAATACGATTAATAATGATAACAGATTGTACCACTGAAACCATGAAATTAACAATGTAAATAAATTTTCTATTACTAGATATCAATTAAAGAAATTTCTGCCTACACTCAAACTATTATAATAGAAATCAATTTCCTATTAACCAGGTGGGGGTTTTATTATACAACCCCACCCCTAACCGCCACCCCCTAAGGTGGGGACGGTTGGATCCGCGTTGATCGTGTCTCCTTGACCGATTCCAGGTCGGCCCCTCTTATGGACGACCTCTCCATGGCCGACCCCTCCCGGTCAGCACCATGAACCATTGTGGTTTAACAAATTTTCTACGAACACTCAAAATAAATTTTCTATTGGCTAAAGTGTCATCCCGCACCATGAACCATTCCTGATTATTCATGCCGCACCATGATCTTTAATAAGTGATATTTAGAGCCATAAACCATAATTTTTTTTTCGTCATAACTTTTTACAGGTTACCGGTAATAATATTGCTGACATGAACTTTTTTTATTAGTTTTTTTTTTATATTTTTCTTCTTTCGCCTTGGTATTATAATTTTTTTCGTATTTTTCTTTTTTCCTAAATGTATTGGCCTGCTCTGTGTTGTTCGCTTCTTGTTTTTCCGATACCAGACTCTGCAGAGCAGGCCTATATGTTTAGGAAACGAGAAGCGAAAAACGCAGAGCAAGCCTATATGTCTAAGAAAAAGGAAAAATACGAAAAAAAAATAATAATACGAAGGCGAAAGAAGAAAAATATTTAAAAAACAAAAAACTAATAAAAAATGATATGTCATCAATATTATTACCGGTAATCTGTAGGAAATCTGTAAAAAGTTCTAGACGATTTTTTTTATATAGTTTATGGCTCTAAATATCACTTATTAAAGATCATGGTGCGACATAAATAATCAAGAATAGTTCATAGTGCAGGATGACACTTTAACCTTTCCTATTACTAGATATCAATTAACTTTCCAAAAAAAAGATATCAATTAAAGAAACTTCTCCTACAGTGAAACTATTATAATGGAAATCAGTTTCCTGTTACTATTACTAGGTACCAATTAATGAAATTTCAGCCCTACACGCAACCTATAATAATGGGAAAAAAAAAGTCCTATTATTATGAGACTGATTGAGAAACCTCGAAAATCTTGATCATGATCATGGGAAACACTCGAACTCTTACTCTTTCTCGCGGGTCTGAGCAACCGCAAGAAACCCCACCAGCAAGGCTTGACCTGGAAGACCGAGCTCAAAACGAGCCATTCACCTGCGAACTTTGCATCAAGCTCATGCTCACGCTCAGAAAATTCAAGAAGAGGGACATCTTCTCTCACCCATTCTGCTCCGACTGTATCGTCAAGTACATTGCCGTGAAGCTTGAATACAACGCCGCCAAAATCAAATGCCCGGCTCTGGATTGCGCCAAGTTTCTAGACCAGGTTGTGTGCCGGACCCTACTGCCCCCCAAGTTGTTTGTGAAGTGGTGTGACGTGCTATGCGAGGCGGCGGAATGTGACCGTTGTTACTGCCCCAATCCCAACTGCTCGGTTCTGATCGTGAATGAGTGCGGCGGGACTGTGAAGCGGTCCAAGTGCCCCAGCTGCAACCTGCGGCTTTGCTTCCATTGCAAGCTTCCTTGGCACGCCGACTTTCGCTGCGAGAAAGACTGGGAATTGATTTTTGAACGATTTTTAGATTTTTGTGGCCCTGTTCGAATAAATAAATAAGGCCCTACCAAAATTAAAATCTATAAAACTAATACCGTAATTTTATTATCTAAATATATAACAAAAAAAAAAATTATTCGCATATCGCACGCACATCGCACACACACTGCACGCACATCGCACGGATAATTGAGCAATTATTTGCTCGAATTCAAGCAAGGATAACATTAAAAAAAAAAAAAACATAATCGATACAACCCATTTCATCAATTGTATTATATAATATTCGTTGTTATAATTTTAACATTATAACAAATATTTTCCGTGCAACGCACAGGTAAAAATAGACATATTATAAAATAATAATAATAATAATAATAGTGTGCACAAGTGGAAAACCCGGAATTGATGGATAGCTTCCAAAATCAATTCCCAGTCTTCCTCGCAGCGAAAGCCGGCGTGCCAAGGAAGCTTGCAATGGAAGCAAAGCCGCAGGTTGCAGCAGGGGCACTTGGACCGCTTCACAGTCCCGCCGCACTCATTCACGATCAGAACCGAGCAGTTGCGATTGGGGCAGTAACAACGGTCACATTCCAGCACCACCGCCACGCATAGCACGTCACACCACTTCACAAACAGCTTGGGGGGCAGTAGGGTCCGACACGCAACCGGGTCGAGAAACTCGGCGCAATCCAGAGCCGGGCATAAATAATCAAGAATAGTTCATAGTGCGGGATGACGCTTTAGCATTTCCTATTACTAGATATCAATTAACTTTCCAAAAAAAAGATATCAATTAAAGAAACTTCTCCTATAGTGAAACTATTATAATGGAAATCAGTTTCCTGTTACTATTACTAGGTACCAATTAATGAAATTTCAGCCCTACACGCAACCTATAATAATGGGAAAAAAAAAAGTCCTATTATTATGAGACTGATTGAGAAACCTCGAAAATCTTGATCATGATCATGGGAAACACTCGAACTCTTACTCTTTCTCGCGGGTCTGAGCAACCGCAAGAAACCCCACCAGCAAGGCTTGACCCGAAAGACCGAGCTCAAAACGAGCCATTCACCCTGCGAACTCTGCATCAATCCCATGCTCACGCTCAGAAAATTCAAGAACAGGGACATCTTCTCTCACCCATTCTGCTCCGACTGTATCGTCAAGTACATTGCCGTGAAGCTTGAATACAACGCCGCCAAAATCAAATGCCTGGCTCTGGATTGCGCCAAGTTTCTCGACCTGGTTGCGTGGCGGACCCTACTGCCCCCCAAGCTGTGTGTGAAGTGGTGTGACGTGCTATGCGAGGCGGCGGAATGTGACCGTTGTTACTGCCCCAATCGCAACTGCTCGGTTCTGATTGTGAATGAGTGCGGTGGGACTGTGAAGCGGTCCATGTACCCCAGCTGCAACCTGCGGCTTTGCTTCCATTGCAAGCTTCCTTGGCACGCCGGCTTTCGCTGCGAGGAAGACTGGGAATTGATTTTTGAACGGTTTTTAGATTTTTGTGGCCCTGTTCGGATAAATAAATAAGGCCCTACCAAAATTAAAATCTATAAAACTAATACCGTAATTTTATTATCTAAATATATAACAAAAGAAATTATTCGCATATCGCACGCACATCGCACGCACACTGCACGCACATCGCACGGATAATTGAGCAATTATTTGCTCGAATTCAAGCAAGGATAACATTAAAAAAAAAAACATAATCGATACAACCCATTTTATCAATTGCATTATATAATATTCGTTGTTATAATTTTAACATTATAACAAATCTTTTCCGTGCAACGCACAAGTAAAAATAGACATATTATGAAATAATAATAATAATAATAATAATAATAATAATAATAATAATAATAATAATAATAATAATAATAATAATAATAATAATAATAATAATAATAATAATAATAATAATAATAATAATAATAATAGTGTACACAAGTGGAAAACCATGAATTGATGGATAGCTTCCAAAATCAATTCCCAGTCTTCCTCGCAGCGAAAGTCGGCGTGCCAAGGAAGCTTGCAATGGAAGCAAAGCCGCAGGTTGCAGCAGGGGCACTTGGACCGCTTCACAGTCCCGCCGCACTCATTCACGATCAGAACCGAGCAGTTGCGATTGGGGTAGTAACAGCGGTCACATTCCAGCACCATCACCTCGCGTACCAACCCCGACGGAAGAGTCTAACGGCCCGGTGTCAAATGACTCGGGTCGAAGGGCTATCACCCTAAGGGGGCACGAGGTCCGACCTCGCTTACCAACCCCGACGGAAGAGCCTAACGACCTGGTGTCAAATGACTTGGGTCGAAGAGCTATCACCCTAAGGGGGCACGAGGTCCGACCTCGCGTACCAACCCCGACGGAAGAGCCTAACGGTCCGGTGTCAAATGACTTGGGTCGAAGAGCTATCACCCTAAGGGGGCACGAGGTCCGACCTCGCGTACTAACCCCAACGGAAGAGTTTTTTGACCAAGAGTACCCTTGGCCAAATAACTACATACTACGTAAAAAAAAAAACACAAAACAAAATTATGCGAGCAAAAATCAAATAAGCGACCCTGCGTCGTCCGGACAACCCGCTATCGAGCGACGAAGACTCGGATCACAAAGCCAAAAGCCTAGAAGGTGTTGGAATAAGCGAAATATTTTTCAAGTTGACCCTGAAGCATTCATCCAAGCCTGGAGCCTCGAGCGGTTTCAATTGGGCCACACATTTACTCTCTCTCGTTGTCGACTTCTCGCAACTTAGAGAGTGGGGGGACTGATGATGGATATATTGGAAATGGCCCAATAATAATAGAGACCCGGGTCTGGAAATGTATAACCCGAGCAGCCCAAGAAGAGTCTCAAGCCTGGAGCTTACCACCGGGCCCAGAATGGTGGGCCTTGACTTAGTCTCACGACCCACCACATGGGCTTGGATTTAGTCCCGTGGCCCTCCACGGATTTAGCAATGGTTGGTTGGAATTTCCTTTACATAAATAGCCTAGTAATTGTCTTGTTAAGATCATGTTCTACCTTTTGTCCTAAACTACTACTTGTGATAGCATTACACCTCTGTAATAGCACTTTATACACAATTAATACAATATCAGTCCCCGTGACTATATTCGTACCCTTATTATCGTTCGATTATATACTTGTTACATTTATTCGGGTTAATTAAGTCGGACCCCGGTTTAATTAATTCCATCAATATTAATCATTTCCAGACAATAGTACCGACCAATTGACCATACACATCGATAGAGAGAAGATAATGCTTTAAAAAGATACCATGCAATATGGAAAATTGTAAACACTCTCATGAAATAAAATTCTCGTAAAAAAAGAAAGAGATTAATAAAAATTATGGGTTACTTATTTTTTCCTAAATGAATACGTAAAAAACGAAGAATAGTATACTTTAGAAATATGTGTAGTATTACTCGATGTCCTGTAACTATTTGCAGTTTTAAGGAAAAGCAGAGTGGCATATAAATACATGTGATGAAAACTAACGTAAATCCTATAATGAAAGATTACTATTTGAAGTCACATCCATAGTGCATTATTAAGGAAAAAGAAAAAAAGGAGTGTGATGCAAATAAGAATATGAGTCCACTGAATTGATAAGTGTTTTCATGGTTGGATGCCTCTGCAACTCCATCTTCCCCCTAACAAGGCTGAAGAGAGAAGAATGTGTGTATGAAAGTCCAGCAAGAACTGAGGCTGTTCACTTGAAAGTGCAGAGTTCATTTGGATCTCGAGACACTAGTATCCATCGTCGTCTCACTCATGCATAACATCCATTAACTCACTCATTACTGTAAAAATCGATTGCTCTCGTACAGTGAGCAGCCAGACAAGTAGCGCCCCTGTTCAACAAACAAGTTTTGCTGGCACTTTCATCAAGCTTCTCAAATACAAAGTCAATGACCATATTCAAGCATATTACAAGAAACCAAAACCAAGATTTAAATAAATACTTGCTAAGAGCAACTATTAGGTCATACAAACTCCATTGCTCACCTGATTGCTTGATTATACAAGCGCTAAATGGGCCCAGGTCAGCGTTATTCAGCTATGGACCATCGCTCATGGTCAGCGTGTGGCAGAACGCTACCAGCGTGAATTACCATATAGGAAGTGTTTTCAGGAGCCATTAGTATTCCAAACAACAAAAGGACCCTTCCTCTGGAACTCACATGGCTGGAAGCCCTTCATGGCCTTTCCCATTAATGCCATGGCAGCTATGCTGGGAAACTGTTTTTTCTCGAGTTGCTCAGGAGGTACCACCAATTTTGAGCTCTGTGGCTCACAAACCACAACTTCAGGCTTCTTCGGCATGGTGATAGCTCTATTTCGAAGCAACCTCTGAATCCAGGAGTGTGACGTTAATAGCTCTCTGTCTGCAGAATAGGACTCAGGATTCCCAGTTATGCCTGCACAATTATCCTGAGCTATCAAGTCCTTACCTTGATTTTTACTAGTCATTGGTCCAGAGCTAGTTATGCCACCTTGGGTAGTTTTGCCACGGAACCTGTACTTCTCATAAGATGAATCTTCTTTCGAGTTTGAACTCATTGTACCAAGAGCAAGCCCAGCATCATGATTACTCAGTTTCAAACGCTTCACCCATCTGCTACTTGGCTCTGGTCCTAGAAGAAGATTGAGTGGAGACAGATCAGGTTTTGAAGTACTTGGCTGATCAGCTTGAGCCAGGAGTGATTCCATATCCAAACTTTGAGTTTTTGAACTCTGCTCCAATTGTTCTGTCGGAGTTACTTCAGCTGGTACAGCAGGAAACTGTAAGTTCATATCAGGTAGCCTGTTCTTTGTGCCTTCAGATTCAACAAGTGCCATGGGGGAACCAATTGTAAGTTGGGGTAAATATTGGTCTCTTTCAGGTGCCTGCAAGAAAAGGACACAATAGACTTTGCTAGCTCTTGTTAAGAACTCTTTGATCCAAAAAAAACAGTTGTTTAGCGAGGAGGGTATATTATGGAACACAGAGCAGTTACTAAATCAGTAAAAAGGCAGGGCAAGGTAACATACCTTCTTTAATGGGGAAGAATTAGAATCTGCAATAGTCAAAATGAGAGAAATTCATTAAACAGATTACTAAAATAGAAGACTTTAGTTCAGCATTATAGATACCTAGAGTTCAAACTGCTCTAGATATTTATAGACTATAGTGCATCAGCAATTTTAAATGCACCCGATAAAGTCACAATGGAAAAGAAATTCAACACATAAGATGGTATGCTTTAGTAAAGAACAGAAGATCAAACACAGAGATATATGTACCTAAAAGATGGGCCTTTCCTGGAAAGACATCCATATCCATAGTATCAGTTTCAGCTGATGATTCGTTCTTTGCTTCAACTTCAGAAGGCTCAGTATTTCCAGTATCTTCTTCATGCTCACTAGCTGTGGAGCTATCTAGAAGTTGAAGCTTCACACCTTGCTGATTCTGACCCAAAAAAGGAGACAAGTTGTTGAAATTATTGAATTCATTAGATGTTCTTGAAGTACCAACAGTTTGATTCTGTTTGGAAATGTTCACATCAGCTTTTTTCATGATTAACAAACTGTGTGCTGTCTTAGAAAATCTAGGATAATCTCCTGTTAATCCCACAACAGAATCCACAGTAGTGCATATTCTCATTGTCTTCACATCATGCAAAGAGCGCGGCAGCTCTTGTGGCATGCAAATATCATCAAGTACCTTCTTTGGTTCAATTGTCTCAAAAGGAGTGCAGTTGTTTCGGAACACCACTGAACGAGAACCACTCTGCAACTTGTGGAACCAGTCTCCACGGAATTCTGGTGGATGACTGTTGCATGAGGAGGACACATTCATGGAATTTCCTGGTTCCGAGTGGCTGTTATAGTTACGTTCACCTTCAAGCATTCTAAGCCCACTACTTGGTACTTGACTTTTAGAAGATCTACCCATTAGCAATGGCATCACTGGCTGGCTGGTATCCTCTTTAAATTTTCCATAATCAAATCTATACGGCAAAATATGAGAAGCTGATTCCCTGCAATTATCCAGAGAAGGCACTGGTGCAGCAGTGTCGTTATTTCTGAAAAACAAATGAGTTTTGGCAGGATTCTGGAGTGCAGCTTCAGGCTCAGAATAATACTTCCCGGATGAAATAGCAGTTGCAGCAGGAACCACAGGTAGCATCGAGCCTGAGCCCAGACAGCTCTCATTCATGGCACCCATAGCCATACCAGAAGCAACCTTTGCATCATGATGAGGCTTTAATGTAAGAAACCCACGAGTTTCTTGACCATCTTTTGAAGATAAAGCATTTCTAGAGTGGGTGGACATAGCAGGGGAGTGATGAGCTGAGCTTTCAATTCTTATGTTCCCTGAACTTGTTCTCAAACTCTCAGTACTATTAGACACATTCCCCACTCCAACCGCATCTTCATTCAGTCTAGTTCCATCATTAATTTTCTTGCTCTCAAGGGGATTGGGAGAACTAAGGGCTTGTTGTGCTTTTTCATTTTGACCAGTTCCAGTCCATCGTGCTATCCAAACAGATTGAAATGAATACATAGACTGCCCTGTTCTCTCATCACACTCTTGGTATGATTGTGCTATGCTCTCCGACATGATGTAATGGAATTTGAGGTTGTTTCCCACTTACAACTACTCTTTTCCCTTCAGATGTTCATGAAAACTTCATTCCTTTGACCTGGAAAAAAGTGTCAGCAATTATGAAATATGCAGTGGCTGGATTGATTCCAGGTTTTTATTATAACAGATTATTAAAAAAAATCAAAAATAAATCCCCATTTGAACTCACTTATGGCCTTATCTAACAAAGCTTACACTTAATACTCCAAAATTAAATGATTACTAAAATCTAAAATTCACAACCTATAATACGATCGAATTCTAGTGAATAACCAACCGAAAATTGCAGGAAAACAGTACCGATACACATATTATGCACACTGAGAGAGAGAAAGGGAGCAGGTGGTGTTGACTGGAAGTGAACGTTAGACAGTACCTCTGATCCTCAATGAAAAGTTGATGGGAACGAGAAAGACGAAAAAGAAGCAAGAGGCGAGGCTGAGCGAGCCGGTAGAAGCCCACATCTAAGGCCTAGGGTTCATCTCCGCCGCGCCGTACATGCAGATCGGAATTTTCTGATGGATTCTGCGGCGGTGAGGAGTAAGGAGTGGAAGAGAGAGAGAGATGGGGGAGGGAAAAAGGTTAGAGACGACCCAGAAATGAAAATGGGTTGCAGTTTTTTTTCTTACGTGTTGGAAGATAAACATGTGGCGGAGGATACTTATATCCGGTCCCACGTGAACTCTCTTTTTCCATTTGCTTTAAAATAATTAGTTAATTAATTTTTTTTACTCTGTTGGTGGCGTCCGAAGTCCCAGGCAAATAGCCTGTGTTTCGCACCTTAACCTGACAGTGTTGAACAACGTGGAATAATTAGACAATAATTAATCAATACTTATGTTGTCACTTGTCTATACTAATTTGACATGACTTGCTTATGTTTAGATCAATCAAACTTATCTTAGAATAACTCGTAGATTCAACTCCTTCATCAATTTGATTCATTTTAAAAGATCTTGATAGGGATTAATCTGACCATATTTGTAGCGTATATATGATCTGTATTGGGTCCATTTATTAAGTAGAGTCGGATCTGACCATCATCGATTTTACAGCGCACCTACTCAACTTAAATCTCAGACCGGGTGTAATTTCGCTGATCAAGCGAAGATCAGTATCAATTGTTCTGTTCCGACCATATTAGGTTGGGACCGAGCACCCGACATGTGGTACTTAGAGCCTTTAAGCCTAGTAGTCTTAGCCAAATTCAATTCCATAACAGCAGATCCGGTGGAATCAGGAATCTATATATGGATACTGGACAGATCAGCTAGGGCCCCGACCTTGCCATGTGCATGCGATTCACGTGCCACGCATGCCGAGGGACCGACAAATGTCCCCTTACGCCTCTTATAAATACTGCATTAAATGCGAGGGTGGAAGACTTTTAGGCATTCTCCATATACTGACCTTTAGTTCGGGAACTAACAAGCTGACTAAAACAGGATCATCATATGATCCGACTTTCGTACCTTACATTTTGTAGAAATCTCCGCATTTACTACATCAGATGTGATTGACTCAATTACTTTTGTAAGATCATGCCACTATTAGCTTAACTTGTCTTTGAAAACATCACCAACTCAAGTCTTTTCAACAACAACCAAAAAAAAGAGGCTAAATGCACTTGTTTAAGGGCATTGTTGGCTATATAAGGCTCAAAGTCAATTATTGGGCAATATTCATGATCAAATTAAATAGTTGTATTCATTACTTTGCATAAATAACATAAGAAAAGTAAAAAAGAGAAAAAAAATTGACACGTAAGTACTTTATATTTGGCATGATCATAGGTTCCTCACGAACTCAACTCATCTCGAACCACCGCACTTGTTAAAGGGCATTGTTGGCCCTAGGCGGTTCAAAGTCTATTGTTGGACATGGTCGAATAGTTGTGTCAATTACTTATTTTGTATAAATAACGTAAGAAGTGTAAGAATGAGAAAAGATGAACACTTAATGTACTTTATAGTTTATATCCAAGACACATTGTATCAACTTTTAGAAGTGATAAGCTCGATAGATATTCACCTTGCATAATACTTTTTTAATATTTCCTTATTTATTTTTCTAAATTATTTTGTATTAATTCATATTAACATAACCAAATTACCAACAATATAATAAGCGTATATTTTGTTAAGATATATCTTAAACTCCAATAAAATAGTAACACATTATTATTTTGAAAATTTCACAATCTTATATGTAAGCGGAAACACACACACACAAAGAAGAAGAAGAAAAAAGGAAAGGAAAATTGTATATATGTAACAAAATTGGGTTATAACAATTATAGTCTAAATACGAGTACAAAATATATGTATAGTCCCCTAATTCTTCACTGAAGTGCCTCTGGAATTCAAGTGATGTGATCCTCGAAGAAGCTAAGGGCTTATTCTTCGTCGATCTTCAGCATAAAATGTCAATGTCAAGATAGTGTCAAGAGAGAACTTTGCAGGGCTTCAATGTGCCTTTAATGTCTTCAAGTGTGATCTTTGTAATGAAATGAAGCCACTATTTATAGTGGTTGAAATGTGAGAATCTCACTCCACCTCAAAGTCTTTGGTATTTATTCAAATAAATAAATAATTATTTAGCATAAATACTAAGGTCCCGTTTGGTTCGCATTAAACATTTGAGGGGAAATGGAATTGAAATTCTACAGGAAAAACAATTATCAGGAAGGTTTATTATATTCTTTGATTGGTGGAAAAAAAAATACTGTGAATAATTTATGTTGTTTGGTTGGGGTTGGAATGATAAGAAATAATGAGCATACAGACTAAAATGACCCTACAAAATGATAATGATAATAAAAGTAATAAGGGCAATATTATCTAACCATGTGATACTTTCTTCCCAACTTCCATGAAAAACAAAATGTCACTCCTCTTTTTGAAATTTGTTTTTCTCAAAATTAAGGAAAACATTTTCAAGTGAGAAAATTTTTTCATGAACTAAACGGAAGAAAATTTTACTTAAAAAAAACTTTTTTCATCCAATCAAATATGCTCTAAGAATTATCCAACATGTAAACCAGCAAACATGTATTATTATTATTTTATAATAGGATATTTTTAAATGTTACGGAGTAGTATAATTTCTTTTATTGTTTTACTTAATATCTTTTTTACCAAATCTGGTGACCATGTTATTGTGTTCTATAAAGAATGTACAACCCGTTCGAAAAATATACCTCTATATTCGCGCTCATCGAAAGGAATAGGCAAATAGCAGCCAAAATATTGTAATCTTTAGCTTTGTCGTTTTCTCGACCCAAACAAAATATCTTCCATATAGAGGAGTAAAATATTTTTTCCCTTGGGGGTAAAAAAATTAATGCTCGGACTATTCATGTATATACACTGATAAATTGGGTGAAAAAAAAAAGTTTTATTTCCTTCCTAAATTTTTTCTTTACTATTTTACTTTTTAATGTAATCATTGGTTGTCCCAAAAAAAAATAATTGATAACTGACTATTAATTAAAAATAATATTTAATTACAAATTAAATGTTGTCATGTCATGAAGGATAGATTGGAGGTGAAAAATATGAGGGACGTTACTAAAAATAATCTAAATTTATAGATGTCATTTCACTTTTAGTTATTTTTTATTATAACATCTATGTTGGTTCTATTATTATTGTGATAGGATCATTTTTTTATCATCAACAAACTTGTTTAAATGACATTAAATATGATAACATATTTTTTAAAAAAAATATACAAAGTGGGTTGACCCACTATATTTTTATTTTTATTTTTATGTGCAATATTTGATATGAAAAAACATCCAACAGATTACATCATTACACCATTACTAAATGAGATGTACTAACTGACTTATTCTAAAGCACTTGAATCAATAAATAGAAAATTATACCGGTCAAGAACACAATTTGAAGATATTAGAGCTCCTATACCAATGAGAATGATAGAGTGCCCCATAAGAAATCATGAGTAAACTTAGCCACGTCATTCTAAGACTAAAATGTCTAGGAAATAAGGAACAATCGGTTGAAATCATTATTTAATATGATTTTTTTAATTAGTATTTAAACAATTTGAAATCACTATTTAAATGTATGTGTTAACAAATCAGTGAATCACATAAAAAATAGAGTAAATACCCAAAATGGTCCCTCGACTATAGCTAAATTAAAAAATTGGTCCTTGACTTTCAATTTTAACCAATTAAGTCCTTAACTTTGCAATTTTAACACGATTTGGTCCTCTGTCTATTTGACCGTTTGTTGACTGTGATTTTTGAGGATATATATGTAATTTCATGGTTCATCGTCAATTTTTTAAGGTTTCGGTTGTATTTTCAGACCGCACTGTTACATTTGGATCCATTGAAGAAAGCAATCTGTCAAATCCTGTCGCCTTTCTTCATCCTCCCTTTGAATTCAATGTAGTTGAGTTCGTACCAGAGTGAAGAAGACAATGTGTTTCCAAACCGGTGCAGCATCATCCTGGAGGCCTCTATGTGCTCCGGTGAGAGCTGCAAGTTCTTCTGGAGATCTTCGATGACGGCGCGGACGCGGGCATTAATGCAGAAGTGTTCGAAGGACCAAATTGTGTTAAAATTGCAAAGTTAAGGACTTAATTGGTTAAAATTGAAAGTCGAGGACCAATTTGTGAATTTAGCTATAGTTGAGGGAACATTTTGGGTATTTACTCTAAAAAATAAATTACATTAAAAAAGAGTAAAATACCCAAAATGGTCACTCGACTATAGCTAAATTCACAAATTAGTCATCGACTTTTAATTTTAACCAATTAAGTCCTTAACTTTACAATGTTGACATGATTTGGTCCTCCATCTATTTGACCGTTTGTTCACCGTGATCGACGATCTCCAGAAAAACCTTCAGTTCTCGTCGGAGCACGTGGAAGCCTCCAGGATGATGTTGCACTGGTTCGGAAACACGCCGACTTCTTCGCTTTGGTACGAACTCAACTACATTGAATCCGAAGGGAGGATGAAGAAAGGCGACCGGATTTGGTAGATTGCTTTCGGCGGTGGATTCAAATGTAACAGTGCGGTCTGAAAATGCAACCGGAACCTTAAAAAACCGACGGTGGACCATGAAATTACATATATATCCTCAAAAGTCATAGTCAACAAACGGTCAAATAGATGGAGGACCAAATCGTGTCAAAATTGCAAAGTTAAAGACTTAATTGGTTGAAATTGAAAGTCGAGAACCAATTTGTGTATTTAGCTATAGTCGAGGGACCATTTTGGATATTTACTCATTAAAAAATTATACGTGACAAATTAAATTGAAATGATGTTGGGAAGATTCAAACGTGACATTTTATAATATTTACCCCATAAATCCATAATGTTGCAGTATTGTTTTTTAATTAACTTCCTGAGCTTTTTTTTACCTTAAAATAATTTCTCAGCTCTCCCAAAGAAGAAGACACAGTTGAACATTAGCTTTGGAGACTCTTACCGAACAGATCCGCTCGTCTTCTCCTTTCTCTCTATTCTCCATACATTTCAATCACACCCTCTCTTTCTCCGCTTCTCAGAACCAAGGTGCGTGTTCTTCTTCGTCATCGTACCAACCATTTATTGTTTAACTTTATTATTATTTTTTTTTTTGTTGCCTATGTTTACAGATCGTTTATTTTATATTCGTTGTTAATCCCTAATGTGCTAGTACATAGAATGGAGATTGGATTTGTGACTATAGATCTTATTTTGGATCGTGTTGATTTTTGTGTATTTTGGTTCTCATTGCTTTTCTAAACTAGGGTTTTTTTTCCAACATAATGATTCTGAGAACGAATGGGGTGTAAGATAGTTGGGTTAGGAGCATTTTCTGTCATTAGGAGTTGTCTGTTTTGGAGATTTGGGCAGGTGAGGTTTATCAATTATGTGATTCATACAGTGATTGTAAATCACAGATTATGAGCTGATTGTCTATTATGCTCTGCATTTTGGAGGCTGTAATAAAGATGATTGGACCACATGTTTATGTTTATTAGCATATGGGTAGTTTGTTTTGACTGTGGATTAGACATGGAGTGTCTTTTTGCAGCTTATCCGTTAGGCAGGGTCCTCTTTGTGTTTAACACAGTTAATTTGGGGTTTTTTTTTTTTGTCTCCCCAACTAATTGAGTGTGTCTATTTTTATGTAAGAGTATGAGTTTAAAATGCATGGTTACCATAGCATTGAGTGGGAGCACACTCAACGATTATATGCCTGGTTGTCACAATGTCACGTCCTTTTATTAAATCTTTTTTTGTAGTTGGGGCGCTTGACGAAACTTCTATGCTAATTACTTTGTTATATGGAATATGTAGGATTGTGGCACATTTTTATGGAGGGGGGTGTTGGAGGTGATGCTGCATTAACGGCTGCAGCACTGAACCAGCGGAGGCATGAATTTTCAAAGCTTTTCCAGTTTTATTTAGATAAAACTACACCCCATGCTCTGTATAGATGGATTGGAACTTTTGGCTTTGCATCTCTTTATGCTTTGCGGGTCTTTTATGTCCAAGGGTTCTACATTGTGACCTACGGTTTGGGAATCTACATACTGAATTTGCTGATTGGTTTTCTGTCACCTCTTGTTGACCCAGAACTAGACCCTTCAGATGGTCCTCTGCTGCCTACAAAAGGTTCAGATGAATATAAACCTTTTATTCGCCGGCTCCCAGAATTCAAGTTCTGGTAATTCTCCCTAACTTTTAACTGTTAAGGTTCTGATTCCGGTTTGCTGGATCTACTTGTTTTGGTTGTGAGGCGCTGACCATAAACACCACTTCACTAGTTTGGGCCTTGGGGCCACTTTCACTATTGAACGCAGGTGGATAATGACTTGTAAAAATCTTTGCTGAAGCAAGTTCATGTACCTGAACAGCTTTTCTTGACATTGATTAGAAATGCAGAATATTACTACAACTTTTCCCTTGCTTTCTTAAATTAATTAAAAGTAGCTGGTTTGGTGCTTTACATGCCACTTTTGAACTAGCTGCCAGTGAGGTTGATACTCGATTACTGACTCAGCGGAACATGATTAATTGACATAATCCATTTACCAATATTCTTCTATGGTTTTATAAAGTTTTTACTTTTGTGGTTCAGGTATGCCATCACAAAGGCTTTCTGTGTGGCATTTCTCATGACTTTCTTCTCCTTGTTTGATGTTCCCGTGTTTTGGCCAATATTATTGATCTACTGGATTGTTCTCTTCGTCCTCACAATGAAGCGCCAAATTTCGCACATGCTCAAGTATAAATACATCCCATTTAACATCGGAAAGCAGGTAAGCTCAAGAGATTGTATCATTTTGCGCTGAAAATGGTAGAACAAATAGCATGTTAAATGTTAGTTGTGGCAGCCTATGTTCACTTTGGATTCTATAATACTCGAAAAAGTCACAATGGTTTCTTTTGTTGACCTAACAGAAGTACAGGGGAAAGCGAGAAGCAGCAAGTAGTGGCAATAGTCCGAGAGCCGACTGAATTTGTGCATGTTTGTGGTTAGAGTAGTTGGAAAGAGGTTGAAGGGAAACAGAAAAGGCTGGAATCTCTGCATTATTTTTTTTTTCACTTAGATTTGTACTTACTATATATTTTAATATGGTATTACAAAAATATGGTCCGATTACTGATGCATTATTAGATTCTGCCACTGCAGCATTGTTGGCAAAGATTATATTTTTAGACAGCATATGTATGATCAACGTTTGATACATTTATACCTTGTAGTCTCAGATTCCATGTGATTTTGGTGCTCTGGGTTGCCTACTGCACTTTGAATTGGTGTTTTTTTTTTTTTTCTTCAGTACTACTGACTTTGTTACAGTGTAGTATCTGTTAATATATACTTGACCACAAGGTCATTGGTTCTGCACTTTGGTCCTTATTTTCATCATGTGGGATAAAAGTCCATAAAATTGTGGTGTATGTGCAACTCTAATTCTTCAATATCAATTCGCTAATAGCTCTAACTACTAACACTTGTATATTAATACCATTAATATTCAGTTGCGCACGCAAATACATTCATATTTTACAATTTTGTACAATATATATGCACATATACGCTGCGCAAACACTCTTTAACATGGCATGTCTTTACAAGAGCTCATCCTCTTGAAGTTGGTGGGTGCTTGCCTAAGCCATTCTTGCCCTTCGATCATTTTCTTTGTCATGAACGGTTTAGCCTCCGCCTTAGATAGGCTGCGCGACCATTCTACTCTTTTTGATCGATCAGCACCTGGACCGTAACATTTGTATTCCCCATAGTATACCGTCCTAGTGAATATTATAGAGTAATTTTAGTATGAAAGAATAACCATTCAAAATAAAAAAAGTATGGTGTATATACATATAGGCACCTCTGGCGTTTGGGGTCGTCCCAGTCATTCCAACCCTCAGGCTGTATAGCACTGGACATGTAGGACGAGACCCAAACCACCCTGGAATAAGGTCCCCACGGTCTACCAAGCACAGTGGTTCCTGTGCCTGTGATCTTGCATCCCAGGAAAGTAAAACCAGTGTTTTCTTCAGCCGATTCTCTGCGTTGAGCAGTGATTGCTCCACCCCCTACTGCAATCGAGTGTATTTCGCATCCCTGCACCAGCAGACTAGAAAATTAATTACCTTTGTTATACATAAAAAAAAACTTGTAAGGTGGGTATTAAAGTGATTGGTATTGTTTGGTTTATAGCTTTTAAGAACACTGATCATGGGTTCGAATCTCTACGTCATCCGATAAGTGAAGTTTTTTTCCAATTAAAAGTGCATGATTGATGATAGATAGGGTTTTGTTTATATATACATATATAGCCCTGGCCTGGATGGCTAGCTGCTATATAGCTTACCTCAAAGAGAGAAGCGGCGTTACCAAATATGAAATCAACGCCGCCTTCAATATAACAGTTGCTATAATAATGTTTACCAGCTTCATCCAAAAGAGTGTCTTGATAAGATTTAATCCTGCAACCATACCACGCACTTCTATCTCCTGAAACCCTCAACGCCACTCCTTTCCCACTCCTCCCAAATGTATTCTACGGAAAGAGTTGATCAAAATTAAACTGGATATATTAGTCTTAAACCAGTTTGCAAAAAAAGAAATACAAAAAGTAGTAAATGTATGTACAGTTATATATGATGAGTTAAAGCAGAAACCGCCCATGTTTGCATTACCATAATTGTTAAATATCTTCCAACAAAATCCGAAGCAAAAACTGTGAGTGTTGGAGAATGAATAATGTCTCCGCCGTCACTCCACGTTATAACGGTGTTGGAAGCGTCGTCTCCACTAAGCGTAATGAACGGCTTATCAACAGGCACTACAACTTTCTCTCTGCAAAAACCAATTCCGCCGTCAAAACACACAGAATCTTTTACTAGGAATCCAAGTTTTAATTTTAACGAGGAATATAATCAGACCTGTAGGTCCCCGGCTTAACGGAAATGTAAACGAGCTCAGAGTTTTTGGACGGAACGGAATCAATGGCGTCCTGTATCTTAATGTAGTCTCCATGGCCGGACTGGTCCACGATAATGAGAACGGCGGTGGAAGTTTGCTTAAGTTTAACGCCGTCGGAAGCGGCGGTTGACGCCGCCGCCGCAGCCAGGATGATGGTGACGGTGCAAGTTAATAAGAGTGATACAAGACGACGGACATGGATTCCCAAGGAAGAAACATCCATGTGCGCTGCTGATCTATTCTCTCCCAACCGAAATGCTGAGAATAAAGGTTTCATTAAACAATTCGTACGTTGTAGTGTTGTGAGTTCACCAACTACAGTGTACTACGTAAAGGGCATGGAAGTATGGGACTGGGATGACATGGCTTCCGGTATTTAAATGACGATTCCACCCTTGTTGTGTGGCTAAGCTAAGGTCAACGGAGTTTTGGTTTCAGCTCACCCTCTTTTCACCAAAAGTCTAAGTTGCAGTTAGCTTCACCAAACCGGCATTGCATAGTTTCATATAACTATACAAGTAAAAGTCACTCTCATAGTCTCATGCAATTTATTTTACACAATTATCCACATCTATCAATTCAGGGGCAGGCTTGGAATATAATATATTATATGTAATATATTTTACAAGTCATGCATATTATTATTAGATAAAAATTATATATACATGAAATAATACATTAAATTAGCATATATTCAAAATTGTAAAATTTTGTCCAACCAATCTGCGTCTGCGGTATATGCAAACGCAAATTGTCCTTTACTTCAACGCAGATAGCTCAATCTGTACTAATGGTCCGACCTGAAATGAGTGATTGAGTGAGTGAAACATGAATTCGGTACTTAAATTTTTTATGAGTTTGATTTTTGTTAATCCCCTGAGTTTTTCGCACTTCTCGTGCACATCTTTGAGTGGTGATTGTGTGGAGCTATAGTTGGATTCATCAATGATGTAATACTACGTATGTCAAAGTTCATTCATGGGTACGTGGCTGAGTATTCCAAGCCACCTTAAGTTGGGTTTGTCAAGAAGGTGGTTTAACCATTCTCCATTAAAGCCGGAGCACCATTCGTTGTTTCTAAACCTATATATTACCTATTTATGCATGTATATGCCTTATTTAATTTTTAGAAAAATGTCTTTGCATAATAATGGATAATTATATGTGTTAGGTACTTAAGTTGAACTCATAACTTCATAAGACTGATAAGAGCATATTCCAACCAATATGCATACGACAAACATTGTTTAATGTCCATGCAAACACTTATGTAGTTGACTCTTTCTACAACTACCTGTCTTACCAATTGCCTATCTCATGCTCTCGTAGAGTTGTTTCACATACCTTGCAATCAGAGCCACACACCCGTTGGCGTATATCTACTATCTATCTACTATACTAATATCTACTATACTAATAAGAGCCCAAGAGAGTTAGGCCTATAATGGGTAGAAAAAATGGCGGTCACAGATTTTAATCAAATGAATGGCTCAGATTAATTAAAAGATTGATCAGATTTAAATTTTACACTAAAATTTCCTAAAATACCCACACACCGTTACTAATTCCGTTAAAATTTTAAGAATTGCCGTTAGTTCACCGTTAACTTACTCATTGATTTCAATAAAAAAAAAAAAGGTCTTAGGTTCGAACCTCATCCCAATCAAAGTTGGCATAATTAGTACTCTATTTTACTCTTATTAAATTATATAAATAATAATTTAGTAGTTACAACAAAAAATAATACATATGCATTTCTTTAATTTTGAATTATGTGTCCACAATGCCTTTATTAAAAAAAATTATTCATTATCAATCAATTAAATAAGAGAAATAATTTTATTAGTTATATTGTCTTTATTTTTCTTCAATATAAAAATTCTTTATATTCAAATTTATTAATTGATTATATTCGCTACATTATCCTTACAATGTCTTTATTCAGTGATTTTTTTTTTATTAATTATCAATAAATTAATTAAAAGAAATATTTTCATTAGTTATATTGTCTTTATTTTTCTCAAATGTAAAATTTTTACATTCAAATTCATCAATTGATTATATTCACTACATTATCTATTATCTTTTTTGTGCACTATTTTTCTAATTAAATATCAAAGTTATAATACAAAATAATGCTATATATTTATTTACCAAGTATTTTATTAATACCATGAAAAAATTAAAAAAATATAATTAATAAAGTCAACCATATTAACTACTTGAGAGATTTTGAGAGATTTTGTGACCCTAAACCCAAAAGTATGTAAAAAATACTCATCATTAATACATCCACTATATTATCTTGCATTTGTAAACTTAGAATTACCTATTTAACCCGCACGGGCTTAGCTCAATGTTTAGTGGGACGGCGGCAGTGCGAGAATTATGTCCAAAGTGGGCAGATTCCTTGTGCGTATCAGCATTTGGCCCTGTCTGCTGAACCATTGAGTCACCGTGATTTACAACTTCCCACAATGCTCTGTCGGGTCGGAGTGTGGGGGGCCCTTGGGGTTGGGGACTCAACCTTTGGGAGAAGAATTACCTATTTAAATACGCAAATTCAACCTTCAATTATCTATACATGAACAATTTCAATATAATCCTGTCTTAATATACTTTAAAGTACTTATTTAAAAAAAAACATTGGGCATTATCCCAATCGCGCAATGCGCGTAAAAAACTAGTATAAATTATAAATTATAAACTATACCACGGGCCATGGTCCATCTTCCATAAATTCTGTTCCAAAATAACATTCAAATTATGTGTCTATACTCTATAGTTAACCTATTATGTCCATATAGTTAATAAATTGTGACTTCAATTTATTTAGAAATACATAATTTATTAATTATAGACGCATAATATGTGAAATGTAGACACATAATTTTTAGACTATATTTCACAATGCAAGATGGGCCATATTCAATGGTTTAACAATTGCCATTGGTGCTTGTTATACGGTGGACCATGGTCCACAGTAAAATTTGGCAATATTCACCAATTGTTATATCGTGCATCACGGCACATAATACATTGTGCACCTTAAAAATCTCATGTTTCGTATGTACATAATTGTATAGTGGAGTATACATAAACTCCTAACATAATACACATAATCTAATATAATACATTTTTTTGTCATCATTTAACATAATACATAATACACATAAACTCTTACATAATACACATGAACTCTTAATATAATACACAAACTCTTAATATAGGACGTATAATGCAATGTACACCCTGGTGCACGGTATAATTTGCCCACTATTCACTGAATGGGCTGCTATAGTCACATGCTAATTCGGTCTATTGGCCCATATATAAGCCGGCGTAGTGGAATAGCCCAGTTCGAAGGCGATCCATTTTACTCTTTCGAAGCCCATTTTGTATCAAGATTCAAGACACCTTCTGCGAGTTCTATCTATAAATAACGTAAAGCCCTAACCCTATCCTCCACAAATGCTTCTGCGTTCTATAGTGTTTAGCTGCCACACACTGTAAAGAATTAGGGTTTCACAGATTTTTAGTTGAAGCGACGGCGATGGATGAGAGGAGGTATGCGATGATGAGCATATAATAATCTCGTTAATCTGATTGATTGCTGAGGATAATATCTCCAATCCATTCTAATTCACTGAGCTCCTCCTCTCATCTCGCCATTGTTAACTGCTTTGTGTCTCTTTGTTTTGTTCCGGATTGCAATTTTTTTCCGATTTTATAGAGGTTTGATCGCTGAATCGCATTGGAAGTGATTTCCGAATCTCAGCAAAACTGCGATAAAAAACATTCATTTTCGGATTTACTGCTCTGTTTAAATACTTCACTTATTTTTCCTGATTTATTTGCTGCATATATTAAATAAACCAGAGCTGATCGATATTAGTGTTGATTGCACATAGTACAATTATAATTTACGGTGAAATGATTGTTTGAAATTGGTGTACATTTGTACAGTTTGACTATGTTTGATCCAATTGTTGGAGGGCCAAATTAGAATCTCTTGTATTACTATATATAAAAGCTCAAACTGGAACCTTCATGGAATTTTTGCCCATTGCAATGTGGATTTTGGATCGAAGAATGGAAAGCAATTGTTAAGATTCACTCATATAATTGGTTGATGTATTAAGGATTAATTGTTTATTAGGATATCTGGGAGTTTAAAACGAATATGAATTCATCTAGAGTTGTAGGAATGATATGCCATTCTTGTTGGGCTTGAATCAGTATATGTTATGGTCTTGACTCTCAATATTTATATCACCATCCAAATTTAGTTCTTTGTATTTGCATGGTAACTAATATGCTTTCTTTGTCACTTAGACGGATTCCCTAACAATTTGCGGAGTGTATTAATAATGTTGCCAGCAAAATATCAAAACTGAGAATAATGTGTTTGGCCATTCCATTAGCTAGTTGTGAAGTATAAATGTGAGGAATAACAAGTAGCCATGCAAGGCATGCAGTGTTATTATTCGATGGAAAATATTATATGTACTCTTATTTTTTTACTAACCTCTATCCTTACACACAAAATGTTAATGTTAATGGACAAATTTAGGGAGTAACATTTTAGAGTCCAGAACTCTTATTCAATAAAAAGTCTCTTGGTATGACTTTTGCAGGGTCAGTAATATGATCAAGTAGCATTAATTGTCCTATTCTTGCTCCCAAAAGGTGACATTTTTTCGTGGTCAAGGTCCTTATAGCACGGTGACTAAATGCTCATATAGCATTGTCATATTAGGGTTCTTGGGTTTGAATCATATAGTCCCATTCTTATTAAATTAGCATCTTAGCCTAATAGTAAGCTAGGCAGATCATTTGTGCTCATTGACATTTGATCCTCATTTGAATTCGAGAATCAACCTTTTGTTAAAAGAATATTAATATATCCCACCACTCAATATTCCATCAATATCTATGCAAAATTCTATGTGGATTCCCTTTGATGATGCTCCACTGACGTAGACGAATAGTTGATCGCCCAAAAATAAACCATCCATATTTACGAATATATAATCCTTTGATTAACCAGCCGGCCTAGGTTGATCGGACCAATCTACATGTGTGTGTATATATTCTTTGATCTTTGTCCTTTAAAGTTGTATACAAAATAAGGGACCAGGAAGTCGAACATAATTCATTACTCATGGACCTTGCTACATCCTAGTATCATATAGTCCCAATTGTACCACATTTAATCATGGAATATAAGAAAAAGGACCTTACTATATATATACACCAAATTTTATTTACTATGATATTTCATTCGTATAGTATATATACTCCGTATCTTAGAAAAAAGAGTTTAAATTATAATGATATTAATGATTAAACGACCGTGACTCATCAATAGATATTTTGACTCATCAACAGATATTTTAGTAAGTTATCTTGTCCATTAACTAATTTTGAACTCACCCAACTAACTCTAGAGTAAAGGAATTGACATGAGGTGACATCAAAATGGATATACAAGCAACAATGAGTGATGAATTGGGAATGGGATTAAAGGCATCCGACAATGAATTGAGTGAAAGTTGGCGTGTGGCCTGGCCAACTCCAAGAATTGAACAAATGAATATGCGAGAAGTCATTGTTTTACAACGTTAATTCAAGATATCACTATCGAATTGAAGCTCTGAACAACTGGGGAAATGTGTGGCCTCAATCTTCCTCAATCATTATATTATTTCTTAATACGTCCATTTCATTGGTGTTTCATGTTTGGATGGATAGCAAGTTGGAGGAAGAAAAAAGAAGAGGAATATAAGATGAATAACCCAAAGAAAAAGGAAAAAAAAAAAAAAAAGAAGAGAAAATTGTGCTCCAATGAAATCAAAGATCGAAAAGGGAGAGATGATTAGAGACAACAATGAAAAGGGACTCCCATGAAAATAACATCTAATGACACTTAAAAACTGCACTCAAGATTATTGTACTAAGTAAATCGCAATCTTATATAAAACTTATATGATGGCTCAACTAAAACTTGTGATTTTTTGATACAACAATCATGTTCGATCTACCACTCGGCCACCACTTTTGACTTTTAAGAGACCATTGTACTTTTTTTTTTTTTTTTTTTTTTTTTTAATGTATGATACTTTATAATTTTACTTTGTGCATTTTGAGTATTTAAAATTTTATAATAATTATTACTAATTTACCATTACATATTTTTTCAATTACTTGTAATCCACACTTTTTATCTAAAGCCTTATTATCACCCATTCCTATTTTGGAGCAAAAATAGATGACTGATGGTGCATATATAATTAAGACAACTTATTTCAAAAAAAAAAAAAAAACAACAACAACAACAACAAAAAAAAAGTAAGACAACTAATCATAGGAGATGATTGACCTAAGTTCAATGCACTATATATAAGATGGACAAAGCTACACGTACAAACAAAATATATGATTAAAAGATACTTATACAATAATAATTTTGAATATGGAATAAAAAAATTGTGATTTAGCCCTTCAAATATTTCTTATTGAGAAATGTGGCTCTACAATTCTTAAGTGAATAAAATGAGTAATCTTGGCAAGTTGAAAGAACCATTGGCTTCAACAAAATTATCAATTTGGTCTAGAGTAATCTTAATTAAATCAGTTAAGATTTTTAAAGTTGAGGGACTTAATTAGAGAAAATTACCATTGATTTCAACAAAATGACTTAAATTGATCATTTTGCTATAGTTAATGGACAATTTCAATAATTAATTCTTTTTTTTTTTAATTAAAAGATGGCAAGAATCTTGCTACTTGCGTATGCCCTTCACCATTTTTTAAGTTTTTTTTTTTTAAAAAACAAAACAAAATTGTGAGCATTAATTAGTATTACAACAAAAATATAATCATGTTAATTTTGTTTAAACTTGAAAAGATTTGCTTGGTGAAGAAACCCTAAGTACATAGTAGTACTTGTAAATTCATGATATAGATGAAGACGAGTTTTCCTACACGATGTGGAAACAACCTTTTCATAAGATGTCCCTTTAGGGACCATTTAATGGCCGGTCCAATGATTAGAGGATTGCGTTTCTAAAGTCTTTTGTTATTTGTCAATTTTCGATCTTTATTCCTTCATTATCCATTATTATTGATCACCACTTATACATAATTCGGCATATATCAATTCTTTGATTTACAAGAAAATTTATGATCACTATTTAAATATACGTTTTGAGTGAAGTCCTCCTTCTATCTTTAGTCAGTAAAGAGTCACGAGGAGATGAGCCATCTTAAGTTACCATAGCTGATCTGATCACCTCAAACCAAGGAAGCGCGTCAATAGGTATCTAGGTCCTACAAAGAGTTGAACTTGAAGGGAAATATATTATATGGGAAATTCTATGGTGTCTAGTGTAAATTGATATGGTACTAATCAACACTTTATAATTTCTCTATAATTTTTATGCGATATATAATTATATAGGAAATTTTTAATGTGTCGATCAACACCAATACCTCTTGTACCCGATATTACACCAAAGTGAGTGATAAAACCTTGAGTTTGTATTGAATGTCTTCACAATATCTGGTACAAATTTAAAACCTTTAAATTTTCAAAGCTTTTGACTTGTACAGTTGTACTCAATACAAGTGACACTACTGTCGATCGGCACAATACACTTTACTAATTATATATAATGGTAATAAGATGTGTGAAGTGGCATAACATGCTTTAGAGTTAGTTCTTGTGTAATGTATTATCTATGTTGATTAATTTTTATCTAGTTATACAAACTACAAAGTAGATCAAATATTAATACTCGCTTATACAGTTATACTCTAAACTCATCATCGTTAAAAAATGCTTGTAAATAATAATAAGAGCATCTACATTAATGTTTTTTTTTTTCTTTTGATATTTGGAATAGTAAAAACCACGTGTGTAATTTTTGAACAAATGAGAGATGGAGTTTTTTTTTTTTTTTTTAAATGTTTTTTTCTTCTTCAAGCTAAGTGCAAAACTTTTGTAAGGTCCACTGATTGAGAAATGAAAACAAAGCTCTATGCTTTTCTCCGAGTGCTAGAGACGCAAGCGCCCAGTTGGGCTCGTGCAATGCACGCACTTGCTGGCGCATCTACTTTTTTTTTTTTTTTTTTTCTTCGGCGTCAACCCTCTTTTTTTTTTTTTTTTTTTCTTTTTCCTTTAGAATTGATGAGGATGCTCTAATATAACATTGTTTACCTGTGTTTTTAATACAAAAATGCAAACTGAAAAAGTACCATAAATATTACTATATATAGACTCTTGTGAGGCCAAATGACCAAGCTAGCTAGCATCTAGTCAGCTTGTATAATGTCGTACATAACATAAATGTATATATAACACAAAAAAAAAAAAAAAAAAAAAAAAAAAAAAAAACACAAAACGGTACCATGTTTTACTGATACATAAAATGTTATTACATCAATAAGAGGAACATTACATAGGAAGTGTAAATAGGAAATGGAATGAATAACGACGTCGTACACTTCGTACACCAGATAGATGACAGCATACAACAGATGAAACAAACACAGAAACCTTAACTCGATGCACACATTAATTTCTCCAATATTTCAAAGAATCATTACTATTGATTCTTGGATTCAACCCATGGAGTACGTACTACTTTATCTTGACACTTGACAATAATAATCATAATATTAATATTAATTATATATCTATAACAATAATAAATTGAAGGACGTACGAGCTGAGATTGCTTCAAATTCGTGGCCTGCATGCATGAAAATACAAAGCCAGTCAGCTTGGGAACAGTCCATCACCAATTTACATGCAACTAATAACGTGACAATATGACATGCATGCAATATTTAATCTGCAATATGCCACATTTTATAATTTTTTTACCATTACATAATCACAACGTACGATCTTCTTGCAGCGGTAGTAGTAATAATATAACGTTAAAACGTACTAGGATTGAGATCTAGGTAGTGTGCATGGATGATGCCTTCACTTAAACCTCGTTCTAGCTAGCTTAGGTGGTAGGGTGCATGTAAGAACACACACACACACATATATATTCAAAGACTTAAGAGGCATATATGCTGCATGTGAAGTAGAGCTAAGTTAATTAATTGATCGGGAAAATACATGTTTACTTGTTTATATTTATGTTCGAAACTAGATTGTCTTAATTTATAGAATGAGATAATGAGTTTGAATGACATGTCGTGTCATACCGGCATATGTTCAAAAGTTTGTGTTTTAATATATAATATTTATATATTTTGTAAGGGAACTTGTGAAATGATTTTCTTTCTTTATTTTACCCGACAAAACTTACATATGAGGTTTTCAAAGGAAAATTCTAAGATCACTCACGGAGGATAGTTTTCAGTACAATCTTAAAAACATACATGGTTGTGTTTGTAGGTTCTGAACTAGGTAATAAGGAGGAGATCAGAGTATCGACCCTAAAAGCATACATGGTTGTGTTCAGTAATGGTTGGGACTCGGGATTACGGGGTTTCCTAGAATAATATAGTGGAATATATAAGTAGGCCAGGGCTGCTACCTTTTTATGAAGTAGTGTTGATGAAAGATGATCAATTGGAGGAGCGGCGGGTGGTGGTCCGGTAGTTGGGGAAGGGCACACGGCCGCTCTCAATGTAGTTGACGTCATGAACCAGGATTTCATAATGCCTCTTCACCTCGTCGGCGGTCTTGCCGCCGCCGACCGCCTTGGCAACGTTGGACCAGCGGTCGGGGGTGTTCTTGTCGTACACCGCCAATGCCTCTTCAAACGCCTTGTTCTGCTTGGCGGTCCAAGACCCGGAGCCTTGAGACGACATTGAACTTGAGGCCATTGCTATTTCTTTTTCTAATTAAAAAACAGGGATTTTGAATTGAATGGCTGAGAGAAAAACTGTTACGTTGCTAATAATATATATTGAGATATGATGGTGTGCCAAAGTGAGGGCAAGACTGCTTCTTTATATACAGCTCCAGGAATGAAGGGGGGGTGGGGTCTCACCAAGTGGACTATATAAAACTTGCAAAGAGTTTAGAATTTTAGTGATTTGTCTCCTTAGGAACCACAAGAGATGTAGGGCAACTGGGCATACTGTGCAAAACATTTTACCAATTCCTCCACAATCACTAGTATTCTTCCCACAATCATCATTCTCAATTTAAGCTGTAAATTTGGTAACATCCATCAAAAAGATCAAATTTTTCCCAAAAATATCTCTGTGTTCTTCAATTATTATGATCACATCAGTATTCCCCAGGAACCCTTTAATCCCTTCTTCACAATGACTCTGATATCCCTCAGAAAGATCAGATCTTTCCCAAATATATATCTGTGTTCTTGAATTGTCATACTTGCAGTTATGTGCATCCAGTTAGATAAGTAAGAAAGCATTGGAAGAAGCCAGTCCGTTATGGACAATTTAAGTTGATTTAGCTCTTTCTGATTCTTTCTCAGAAAAGGCGAGTTTTTACTGTGAATAAATTAATTATGTTCTAGCTCTCTAAGTGTATACTCGGGTGGTGGCTGTGGATTTCCTGGTCATCGTCCAAAAAGAAAAAGAAAAAAGAAAGTATTAGAGAAATATAATGCATTAGTTACTGCAAATTACTAAAAAGAATTGTGTGAAAGCCCTTTAATTTGCTTGGCTGCAATGAACATTATGGGTCCCTGATTCATTCACTGGCTAATAAGACTACAAATTTGATGAGTTGTATACACCAGCAGGTGTGGTACAAGGATGTATTTCTGTGTGTTTTCTGAGGTATTCAATTCATGTCTTGGAAACAATATACCATGGGGAGATAAAGTCGTCCGTACAATGATTATGTCATGTTGGACGAGACTAATGGATGTTTGACACGTGTCCCAGGAATCTTGCCAGTTTGGGGCTGTGGAGGTTAGGACTTAGGACCCTTATCTTGAAATCTTATTGTGTGTGTTTGTTATTGCATTTTAACAACGTGGGTATCTTTTTTTTGTTAAGCGATCAACAAACGATAGTGCTCATCTTTTAGCTCGGGGGTCCGTTTCTTTGTCTAGTTGTAAAAAGTGATTTTCCCATCCTCGTTCTTTCATTTGTAATGCATTATTTTCGGACCTGAATTAATTACTATAGTTATTCCTTTCAAGAAAAGTTTGGTCTTTGTTGAAGCAGGGTAGGGGGAAGTGGACAGAGTAAATCTTTACTTATTCATTCTGAAGATTGATTCTGTACTCATTGTACTGCACTCCTTTACCAGCCATAACTCTCATATATTCTCTGCATTATTACAAGACTAGGGTTCTTATCAAATCTTCAGAATATCTCCTTCAATCCAAGTTTTCTGTGGTGGTTCCTTGGTGGTTTTATTGAGGGCACGGGGCTGGCTCGAGACCCTTAATTCATGATTCTCACGATCTTTTTTCCTTTGTTATTTATATAATTTCATTGAGTATTATTATGAAAAGACGTTTTCGAACACTTCGTGGTTTATAGTTAGACCCGGAGGACTAAAACAGGCTAAAGTGAGTTGCCTTGTCAACATTTAATACTTAGATGAGAAAGAGACAATAATTTGCTAGGCAGGTGTATCAGCTAGACAAGCTAGACCCTAGTTTACAACATTTTTGTTACATCATATAAACAGTCAACTATGTTAAAATATAATCATTGGAAACACCATCATTAATGTGAAAGTACCCATAATCACCTTGTCTTTATCCTTAATTTCAACACCCATTTTCATAAACTTTATAAATTACAATGTTTTTAGCATCTGTCAGCCAAAACTGCACACATGCAAGTCTTGGATGGAATTATATGATTTGTTACAAATCTGCACTTCTGATTACACTGATCTTAGGATCACGAGAAAAACTGTCAGCCACTATCTGAAAATATGCATCGAGTAAATCCCGCCAGCTTAGCCAGTAAACGACCAGAAAGAGGTAAACCAGTGTATGTTACTCATGACTGGTCAGTTTAAACCAAGAAATACCAATAGGTCGTTTTCATTGAGAATTGAACTTGGAACTATGTGGTTACGAAGCTAATAACTCGACCAACGTAAGTTGCCATTTTTACCATATCCATTGCCTGGTGTAGGCTACAGATTTGAAGGGGAAAGGGCAAGCTTGATGGCCTTCAATTCAATCTATCAATCAAGTTGATAATTGGGTAAGAATCTTGAGCAAAGATGATATTACAAGATATGGGTGTTTGAAGCAATTTGATGATTAGATTAGATTGATTGGGAACAGTAGAAAGATCCGAGATATACATGGAAACTAAAGGAGCAGCAGGAGCAAACGTTGGCAGTGGAACACCATACGATTGGGAGCTATATAGTATCAGCAAGTTGGATTAGAGTAGCCCCCCTAACTAGCTAGCTATACTATCTGGTCCTATAATGTAATGCCCGCCGACAATTAACAAGTAGAGTCATATGATTCTGGAATTCGTAGGACCAACTTTGCCAAAAGATGACCCAAAAGGCTCCCTTGAGGGGCCCCTCTTTGGTGGTTCCTCTTTCATGGCAAATCTGCAGATGCTACACCCTTCTTCCCAATCTTGCATTCTTGCTTCTTATTAATTGACATCTAAGCTTGAGTATATAATTATATATGACCCAATTCAACCTTAGTCTTAAGTCTTAACCGAGTTTCTGAATGGATGGGTTTAAAGATGACCTAATTCTGATTATTAAGATCAAATGTTTACTATTTATAGTACTGTATTGTAAAATTATACGTCAACAAGATGCTGAACTTGACGTTCTAAACTTCTAGCTGACATACAGATTATTTGTAAATGGTGAAAACAAAGTAAAGTTTACAATTGCACCGGTGGGGGGGTGGGGGATGGACTTTAATTTGCTTATGATTAGTGGAAAGTTACAGGGGAACAACTTTGTAGGATCAAACAAAGAAAAGAAAGAATTGAAACCTGTGGGGGGTTGAAAAGATATGCATTTAATTTGTGCAGATATTTGGGATTCAACCAATCATCACCTCTACCTCTCATGGAAAGCAACATCTATTTATCTCTCTAACCTGTGGGATGTGGTTGAGTGGAATGGACTCATCACTCATTCATCCTTAACCAAAGATCAAGGGTTCGATCATTGACTTTGGGTATGGAACATCCTTAAATCTCTAATCCAATTGTCTCATCCAAAAGAAATGTCTACAGTCCAACTATGGGATTAGTTACTGTGTCTGACAGTAGAAATCCCGGGTATACCAAAAAGAAGCTATCTCTATCTCTGGATCCTTCTTCCTATGTCTACCGGCCAATTGGGAATTAGGGATCTAGCTTAGATTGGTCCTTTCTGCAACTTGAAAACCTACATTACCTTGGACCTTGCACTAAATGGTCCATGCATGCACATACATTACAATTATATTGTTTTCCTTTTTCTAAATTCATCAAGTTTTGCATACAATCTGGGATGGCTAATTACTGGTATCAGTATGTAAGGAATCAAGAAATTTCTAAGGAATAAAGATGCCGCCATTGGCATCTGCCAGGCCCTACATTGGAACAAATAAGTCAATAAAAGATCCTCTTCCAGGAAATGATCAAATTCTTTGAACAAGGAGTCAAGTTGAAGCTGGAATGAGAATCTTGATTTCCATTTGTATCTATCCTTGGTTGATAATATTGGTAATGTTTATTGAAAAATTTCTAATTTTTGGTTGAGTACTCGATTCTAAAAGAAAAAGAAGTTAAAATGCATTGTCAATTTGTCATGAGCTCACCTCCAGCCTATTGTGCTATACAACATGACAAAAGAAAAAAACAATGTAGAAATATATTGCCCCGAACCAATGAATATGAGAATATATATATTTTTTAAAAGTAAAAATGTATTGTATTCAATCCAAACCTGACCCCATTGTGTTATACAACACAAGTTACAATCTTATTTTTGATTAATATGAAACGTCACATTTGCTTTAAAAGAATATATGAAACGTCATTATCACACCAATAAAATAATTTCCTTTATGATAATACATTTGTGACTTGTTTGTAAATCCTCTCAATCGCCGCCGAGACTCGCTATAGGTCCTCTCAATCGCCATCTGTCCGATCAAGCAACAGAACAACTCAAACAAGTCCGTGGAGTTCTTTATCCCACATCTATTTGGGTAAAGTGAGCATGCCAACCTATAAATAAAAAATAAAAAAAGGAAAGGACAAACGCCATAACTAAACCAACGTACTAAAATCAAACAAATATCATTTAAAGTGATTGTTTTGGGTGGGAAAGGAGAGTACAAGGGATAAGAATTGAACGAGTGGTATAGTAGTAGTAGTGATTGTGTTGTGGGAATCCAAAAGCTATGAGTGTTTCAGCTGCAGCTACGTTATGTATGTGGCGGCCTCTTAGTGATGTTTGGATAAGAACGTGTGTAGATGGTTAGGTTGATTAGGTGAACTTAATGCATTTGCATTATTGGTTGTACTAACATCGTACTACTTCATGAGCTGACACAATTTTGTCAATTTTGTCATTGGGACAATAACACAAATCTATTGTTAATTAAGGCTTTAGAGGTTGATTAGTTTAAATTTGGATATATACAAAATTTAACTTTATTTGTTGGGCACTTGAGGAATCAGCATGAAATAGATTTTAAACAGATCCGTGACTCAACTCATGACATTATGTGAATGGTGTGGCCAACTAGCTTTCATAATATAACATTCAATTCAATCCAATTCATTTCGGCCAATACTTCCTGCCAAATGGACTTCAAAGGTTTTTAATCAATTATTTTTGGGCAAACGGGCTAAAATAATTCACAATCGCATACAGCCCAATACGTATCTAATACTTCAGATTTATCAATTTTTGGATCCAGTATTATACAGTATCTCCCCATCAATTGGTTCGGTAGAAAGTGGATTAAGATTAGCATGAACATACCGTAAAGATAAAATTTAAAAAAAAATAAGAGACGGATGAAAATGCAAATCAACGTTTACATCATTCCTCGAGAACTTTGTAAATACAGATTTACAAACAAATCGAACCACAGATAACCGAAACGGATAACCAGAACACGCAGACTTAAAGTAACACCAAACACCATAGCAGAAGGACCCTAACAAGATCTAATATCTAACAGATCCAGGGACAAAACATTAACCACGCAACAATAAAGCTAGATTAGTTCCTCCAGCTTCCATCATCGCCTCCCCTAGAGTAGCGGTCACCTCCGCCGTAGCCACCGCCTCCATAACCACCTTCCCTGCGGCCACCATAGCCGCCACCGCCGCCACCACCATAACCACCTTCCCTGCGGCCACCATAGCCGCCACCGCCTCCACCCTCACGACGTCCACCACGGAAACCGCCACCGCCGCCGCCGCCGCCGCTTCCGCGAGACTGAGCCTCGTTAACAGTTATGTTACGCCCGTCAAGAGACTGGCCGTTCATCCCCTCAATAGCATCCTTCATTGCTTGCTCATCCTTGAATGTAACGAAGCCAAAACCTCTGGATCTACCGGTCTCACGATCGTTGATGATCTGATCCACAACAAAATTCAACAACAGTCAGAATCAACCAAATCTACAAGCTAAAAACACAATAATAATAGCAACAAACTCAAATACATATATACGTATAGGGGCGAAACACAAAAGCGATCGATCTTAACCTCTCAACAGAAAGAGGAAGATGAACGTACCGTTTCAGGGGAAAGTAATAGTAACAAATAGTAACACAGAGAGAGAGAACAGTAGATCAAAGTAACATAGTAGTAGTAACAGAGAGATCATGTCAACAAAGACGAATCGGGTGAAACCGAGATTCGATCACTGCTCTGAGACAGACAGACCTTCGATTCGATGACCTCGCCGAAGGAAGAGAACGCATCATGTAGAGAACTTTCAGTGGTGGCCCAGGCCAAACCACCAACGAAGCATCTGAACTCAACTTCTGCCATGACTGAAAGGAGAAAATACAAGCAGAAGCTAAAGACTAGAAGAGAAGACGATGAGAAAATGAGAGAAAGAAGCTGTGAATAAATAGGCGGATGAAGCTAGGGTTTAGGGCGGGTTACGGTTTTCCCGGTGCCCAACGCGCGCGGCGCCTCTTGGCCCATCCTACTCAGAGTGGAGTGTGATTATAACCCTGGTTGGATAGAGTTAGGTCGCGTTTGGTTATCACTGATTTCTTTGTTTTACTAGTTGGTGAAAAAGCGTATATAACCAAACAGAAACAAGTGCAATACTGCGTCTAACTAACCAAGGTTAAACATGGGTTGTGAGATATTTTTAGAGTGGACCCCACGCGTGATTGATTGCCAACGGCAAAAGTATATCCGGACAAGAGATATTATTCTTTACTCTGTCCTCCTTTTACCAAATCCTGGGCCCGATTAATTGTTTCTAATTGGGCTGGACCCATATTGACCGTTATTACAACATAATTCTTTGGCCATTCGAATTACAAGGTTTGATTGAAAAAAATTACAATTCTCTCATTTTGTTGAATTGTAAATTCATACTCTTCTCATATGAGAATTGATTATTCTTATTTTTAGTATTATTATTATAAATGACATTTTAATTTTAATCTTTATACCACTTCTTTTCTTCTCATTCTCAAAATTTATATTCCTCCTTACCAAACAATGTAACTTGAATTCATACTTTATTCACACCATATTCTTTTCCTATCGAATTACAATTCATCCTCCCTAAATTCCTTCATTCCAATCAAACTCCCTGTAATATTACACGTGCTTTTAATTTTATTTTCAACTTTTACTTTTGTACTTAAACTCTTATGGTATGTTTGGCAAAGTGAAATTGCAATCCGTTTCCTATATAATTTCAATAAGTGACAAATTTTAAATTTTGGTTAGGAAAATTGCAATTCTATGTAATTACAATTTCTCAAATTTGATGAATTGCAAATCACACATCCCCAAAATTGCAATTCCATAATACATGAGAAGAAAAATTTTAGAGTGTAGGGACTAAATTGTTCTCCCTAATAATCATACATCCTCTCTTAGAAATTGCAATTACATGAGCATTTTGGTCTTTATATTACTCATACCCTTCCAATTCCAATATATATATATATCAAAAACTTTAACTGAAATTTTCAGTAATTCTCTTTCTGTTTACCAAACAAAGAAACAACATGTTAATATAGACTCTGATGAGTTGGATACATATAATTTAGTATTAGATCTCGACTCAGGTGGTCAGAAGCACCAAGTGATCGACCTAAGTTCAATATTTTTGTTTCCGAACGAAACAAAGAAACGACATGTTAATATGGACTCTAATGAGTTTGATACATATAATTTAGTATTAGATCTCAACTCAGGTGGTCAGAAGCACCAAGTGATCGACCTAAGTTCAATACTTTCCGAACGTAACATTTTTTTTTTTTTGGAATAAGGGTCAAATTGGTCACTGAACGTAACACGATAGTGCAATCAGACCACTGGACCTAAAAAATGCTCAATTACCCCACTCAATAGTGTAAATCCCTCCAATTTTACATATTAGCCGGTTTTCATCCATCCTTTCCGGTTGCCTTGCTGACTGGACTCTTACGTGGCATTTTTTTTAATCTTTTCCTTTACTTTTCCTTTCTTCCTAATCTTCTTCTTTCTTCCATCTGCTATCCTTCTCCTCGGGCAACAATCTCCCCTTCCTCCATATCGTAATCAATCCCTAAATTCAATCTGCCCACTACCACACCCATTGCACCGCTGCCAAGTGATTTCTTTTCGTTCTCAATTTTAGCACCAGCCTCGGAAATCTCATTTTCGGACTTCTTGCTGCGGCGATCGTGGCGGTGATGGTGACGGCGTTTTGATGCCTCCTTACCACAGAAACGACAAAGAGTTCACTTTATACCAACTAAACTCAAAATAAACTGCAAGAAATACATACCCAACGGAAAAAATACTTCTTGAGAATTAATTGTAGAAATAACCAAATAGTTGCTTGTTTGACTACCAATGTACATTCTGGGTCCACCAGGCACCTCATGGAAGGCATGTGAGCCGTTTTTCTTCATCCTAAGAGTAAGTATGCATCTGTAGAAGAAACCTTAAGTGCAAAATTTTGAACAACTCACTGAATTTTCAGTACACAGAAAGCTAGATCAATAACATGGGGGAGATACGAACCTGATCTGAGAGGAGTCGGAAGAGTCAATTTAAGAGAGAGAAACAGGGAGACAGAGAGAGATAGAGAAATAGAGAGAGAGAGAGAGAGAGTTTAGTGAGAGGATGAAGATGAAGAGAAAGAAAAAGGAAAATGGGGTCTGCCGCCGGCCGCTACTCCTCCACCGCCAATTGCTTCGCCGCCGCCTCCAGTCGCTTCTCCTACTCCACCAACTGCTTCAGCCCCTCCTCCACCTGTCTTTGTTTCATCCCCACCCCCACCTCCCGTATATTCTCCACCGCCCCCCTCACCATCTCCACCACCACCACCTCCTGTCCATTCTCCACCGCCTCCTCCGGTATACTCTCCACCACCGCCTCCGGTCTATTCTCCACCTCCCCCACACCTGTTCCGTCCTCGTAGCATGGGCAGAACAAGCCGGAGTACGGTCACCAACGACCAGATGGAAGAAAGAAGAAGATTAGGAAGAAAGAAAAAATAAAGAAAAAAGGAGAAAAATGCCACCTAAGAGTCCAGTCTGGCAACCGGAAAGGATGGATGAAAACCGGCTAATAGGTAAAATTTGAGGGATTTGCGCTATTAAGTGGGGTAATTGAACGTTTTTTTAGGTCCAGTGGTTTGATTGCACTATCGCTACGAACCAATAACGTCTCTACTGAAGCTCGAATTCACAACCTTCTAAATGGAAGTCCAACCTGAGGTCCCGGGTACCATTAAACCACATAGTCTTGATTTTCCGAACGTTAAAATATACTAACTTTATAAGAAATACAGCAGAAGATCCCCATTGATTGCGTGCTTGGGATGTAGAACCATAACAATCTATATATATATAAAAGTAAAATCCTTCTAACAAATTTCCCCCCCAAAACTTTTGTAGTAAAGTTTATTTGGTAAGTAAATGTCAAATGGAAATTAAATAAAATCTATTAATTGTTATATTACATAATTGGTAATATTATGTATGATATTATATTCTATAATATAATTGAAAATATTATTGTTCAAGTATAATAAAAATCTTATGAAATAATGTAAGCATAATAAAATAAAAATAATTATAATAATAATAATAATAATAATAATAATAATAATAATAATAATAATAATAATAATAATAATATAAAAATCATATAAATTTTCCCCCAAAACTTAGCGGCATTTATATAATATCCTAATTTTTTAATTTAATTAATTATCAAAATATTGAAATTATATATTATATATTATTCATTTATGTGTAGACATACTTATTACTGTATATAAAGAAAATTAGGTAAATATATTCTTCAAATATAAATTAAGTATCTATATATAATTTTTTGGTAAGCAAATGTAAAATGGTAACTCTAAATTTAAATGGTAATTGGTAATTGGTAATATAATAAAAACCATAAATGTTACCCTTAATCATATCGAAACACCTATATATACATCACATTCTCTTCAATACAAACAGTACCATGTTACAAAGAACCTAAGGGAATATTCTCTGCAACTGCATAGCAATGGTGTAGAGAACAGGGACCTTCAAGAAGAGGAGGAACAAGACCCATATTCTCTGCGTATCCAGAAGAGCTGTTGCACTACGCCTACAAATTTTGGTAAATCTCTGTATCCTTTTTCAACTCTTTTTTTTTTTTTAATAAAGAATAGAAAATCATATATACCATTGGTGAAATTTAAAATCTATCTACATATATTATATAAACTATGATTATATTGATCATATATATCACCTTCTTCATCATCAATCTGGACGAGTTTGCTCAACCCATTTAAAAGTATTTTTCTAATACCTTATCTCAATCCATTAAAAGTTGTTTATTATTGGACTCTGGGCAGGATTAAATAATGCACTATTCATAGTGATAGAAAAAAAACTGACCATTTGATTATTAGTGGACTCTGAGCAACTAGATCTGCAGGTCATTTGCATGAGAGGGGACATCATTGAATGAGTTTGGACTATTAATATTTTTTTTCCTGATGTGACGATCCTTCCAGCACCAATAGGAGTAACACAAGGATTTGGAGCCATGGCAATGTGTTGAGGATCATGAGTAGTGCTCCTTGACAAAAGCCTAAAGCAACAGCATATGAATATGATAGAGATTTAATTATTTTAATTTTTATTTGATAAAGATTATTCTCTAACCAAACAATTAGAAATATTTACGATTTATTGAACCAACCTTCATATTTTTGGTCAAATGAGTATACATGATGGAATATATGTTCATTGCACGGAATCTTAATATTCATTGAGTTTCCAAATTGTATATTGCATAATAATTATTTTACCATAATATGAATTGTAACCAATTTAATAAATCTAAATATTAACAAGTATGTATGGTAATTTTATGTATGTTAATATTATTTCATATGGACGTAATATCATAATATGATTTATAACCAATTTAAGAAATCTATATTGATAACCAGTTCAAGTATGTATGGTAATTGTATGCATGGTATTAAAAATAATAATTACGTATGGTATTATGTATAGTAATATTAGGTATGATATTTATTATGTAATGCATAGTATTAATTAGGTTGTACATTTATTCTTTTCATATTCTCATATGGACGTAAATCCATAATATGGTATATAACCAATAACCAATGTGGTGTGTATATATATATATATATATATATATATATATATATATATATATATATATATATATATATATATATATATATATATAATTTTTCACTCCTTATTATAAAATAATAATTCAATAAAAGTTTTATATAAGTAAATAATCTGTAATATTTATCTTAAGTATAATTTGTCAAATTAATCAATTTTAATTTGATAATGATTATTTTCTAACCAAACAATTGGTAATATTTACGATTTATTGAACCAATTCATATATGTTTTTTTCCATCAAGACT